TAAATCTTATATATTTATTATCCCGCAAAAAAAACGAAGTCAAATTGCCAACTTATGGTATGTAAAATGTACATGGGTATTTGATAAATTGAGTTTTCAAATTCTGTATTTGATAAATTGAGTTTTCTAACTCTGTATTTGAGTTTTCGAACTATGTATTTGAGAAAAATGAGTTTACGAACTCTGTGTTTATGAATTCTGTAGGCTGTAGGATACATGACTATACTATTTTCCAAAGGATAAACATGATTTGTTTTGGGAATTAATAACAATATTAATGTAAACAGTTGGACTGTGGATCAGATGAATCTCCAGTATGCATGTGAAAAAATCTTACGAAGAAATGCAGCCAGTCAATTTCACTTGTAACATTATCATAGTACAAAATACAACCAAATTTGGGGAAGTACATGTACTGAGGACTGTTGACTGTACATTTGACAAGCAATATCAAATGTTGTGGATATGGAAGGGGTTTACGGTGTACACCTACAGTGTTGTGTGCATTACATGTTATCTTTTTTCTTTATCATACATATTTGGCAGATAAAATATTCCAGTTGGTAGGGAAAAAAAATATAAACAATTTTTTTATATAAAGATTATGATCCATTTTGGAGGTAAAAAATTGAAAGCCAGTTTGAACCCTTCTCACTACTTATTGCTAATTTAAAACAAGTGGCATATGTTTTGTCACAAACACCCAAGTTAATCAATATAGGTGGTTCAGTGACTATGGTGCTGGTTCATCCATCAGGAGGTCCCTGGTTCGATCCTGGTCTAGTCTGAGAAAGTTCCATGTGAATTTTTAGCCTGGTTTCTTGTCAGGGTCTGGCAAAGAAAGGGCTTATAGTCAGTCGTTCAGATGGGATGAAAAAAAAGGGTCCCATGTTAAAGATCACCTAACGTTATCTGGCAAAAATTTTCCTCACAGCACACTGCAAGGTGTATGCCCGTCTTCATTAACTGGTTAATCTCAATGAATCTGTATTTGGGGGGTGTACCCCTTTAATTTCAATTTAAGCTATTTATATTATCCGTGTAGGGTGTTTAAAAGTAATAATTTAGAAAGTCAAACATCCTTGTTGTGTAATATCAGGTTTCAATGATACTTGAGTTGGTTACACGAACTTTTATTATTAACAGGTAACATGTACTTACATAGACATTGATAGACGTTACCCCTATTTAACAGTTACTAGTTTCGTTCGTTTGTTTTGAACTCTTCAGATTGATTGACCTCACCTAATGAGGTTCTATACTGTGTTGGGACCCTGGTAAAATTTCAACTCAGTTGCCTCTCACTTCCACCTTTTGAGCCACTCTAGTCACAATTTAGACAATCAAATAATTAAAACAATTGGGTATCAACCCTGACCTTCCCAAATCTACCACCAATAGACATACTATAGACCTTCACTGGATCATGTATGTGACAATCTCGTGGGTTTACCCCGGGTCCTCCGGTTTTCTCACACAGCTAAAGAGTCCTATGAGCAAGGGAATTGTTGAAATAAAATTCAACCATATATTAGTCCCAAAATGACCAAGTTTGAATACCATTTCTCTCTCTCTCACTGGATCATTAGATTGAAAACCCTTTGAAGCATACAGTATCAATGACAAAATCTGAACTGCCTGTTTACAGATAGGCCTATATATACTATTCAAAAAAAGTAGGGGATATTTGATTTTTAAGTGTTATTAAAGTCACCTAATGAAACTGACGAAGAAACAAATGACAAAATGAAATGAAGTTCACATTCATCGATTTATTCCAAATGATCGTTAGACTAAGTAAGGCACAGACTGACCATTATAAGGGTAAAATGATACCCGGGGTCAAACAGCAAAGTTACCACAGCATCACAACCAAGTCAGTAACGGGTAAATCCTCCTCTGTTTGCCAAACAGGCATTGATCGGACGTGGCATACTCCTAATGAGACGTCTAAGGTCATTTTGGTCCAGATTGTCCCATTCCTGTTGCAACGCAGCAGCAAGTTCTTGGACATTGGCAGGACGTTGTTGACGTTGACGTAACCTCTGTCCAAGCATGTCCCAGACATGCTCGATGGGGGAGAGGTCGGGACTCAGTGCTGGCCAAGGTAATGTGGTGATGTTCTGTTGTTGGAGGTAACCTGTAACGATCCTGGCCCTGTGACATCTTGCGTTGTCATCCTGGAAGATGAAACGGCGGCCATGACGTCGTGCGAACGGCACAACATGGACTGCCAAGATGTTGTCCCGGTAGTACTGGCCTGTAACACGCCCTGCAACAACATGTAAAGCCGTTCTTCCAGCAACAGTGATGCCTCCCCACACCATAACAGAACCACCCCCAAATCGATCATGTCTGATGACGTTAACGTCTTGGAAGCGCTCGTTTCGACGACGCCACACCCTCCTACGTCTGTCCAAAAAATCAACGGTGAACCTTGACTCATCTGAAAACATCACATTGCTCCACCGTCGATTATCCCAGTGTTGACGATCCCTACACCAACGACGTCTTGCCTGAATGTGATGATCTCTCAAACAAGGGATCACGCGAGGACGTCGGGCGCGAAGGTGACCCCTATGCAGTCGATTCCGAATCGTCTGGCCACTCACTCTCACACCAGTGTCTGTTTGAAGACGAGCGCTGATCTGATTTGCTGTGATGACACGATTTCTCAAGGCCAAGGTACGGATAAATCGATCCTGGGCTTGAGTTGTCGCCCTTGGTCGACCTGAGCGTGGTCTGTCCTGTACAGATTGTGTATCACGGTATCTGGACCATAGCCTGCTTATGACAGACTGAGAAACATTCATCGTCCGCGCCACAACCGCCTGTGTTGTGCCGATCTGTAGCATGCCAAGGGCACGTAACCTTTCATTTTGGGTAAGCCGACGCATATCAAAATTTGTTTTCTGGTCACTAAAACAATTAAACTGATGTTTCCACCCTGGAATTCAATGCCACAATGACTGTAACATTCAAAGTCAGAGTCTTGCAAATCTTGGGTTGGACCCCCATGATGATCCCAAGCATCACCTGCATTCCATGCGGTAGCTATTGGTGCGTTTGGGCGTCACATGTAACTGGAAATGTTTCTTCTGTTAGGTTCTATAGTGACTTTTTTCGTAGTCAATTGCATATTTTAGTATTATGCCCCCAAAATCAAATATCCCCTACTTTTTTTGAATAGTATATCTATATCTCACTACAACTAGTATCCGCAACTTATATGCAAAATAAACTCAAGCTAAGGGCACCAAGGGATTGGAGGCACCATTGATTTTTTTCTAATGCCAAAAAACTGCTGTTGAATGAAATTGTTTTGCGAGCAGAAAATTTAGAAAACAAACTATTTTAAGTTCAGCTTACATGTATGAGTTTTGATTAATTTTTGTAAGATAAAAACAATTTAGTTTACAGTTTAATAACATTTTTATTTAGAGAGGGGTTAAACAGGCCATGTCTGTTCTCAAATCCCATTCATTTATTTAAATTTTTTTTTTAAAAATTAGAGTTAAATATATTTGGGGGCACTGCAATGTTTTTAGTGCTTTGGGCCCTGTTTTTCAACCTTTTTTAGCGGACATCCTAAATCTGTACCAAAGATTCTACTGCGTCCCATGGTTGAACGAAGAATCAATCTCTCTCAAAGAATTGATCAACATCAAGAAGAATATAGGCCATGCTCTCGTCCAAATGGGAATAGCGAAATGTCCCACCTGAGGGATGCGTTCCCCAGGTTGACAACCGAGGACTGTAGGGGTTCCAAAGGTTTTAATCTGGTCTTGCAAGTATCCATCTAGATTCATTTAGAAATTAACTGATGAACCCAATCAAATTATTACTAGTGTTATATTCATCTGTTTTATTGATTGGTTGGACCTGGAAGCTAGTCTGAGTATGTAACTGGTCACCAAGATGTCTGATAAAGAGAGAGGGTTTAACGTCCACTTGACACAAACTATGTTATTTTGGGACCAACACATGGTTCAATTTTATTTCAATAATTTGCTTGCATGTTGGGTCTTTCATTGGGAGGAAATCCGAAGGCCCAGCTAGAGAAAACCCACGTTGTTGGACAGGCGACTCTTCTCCGTGTCACATACAAGCAGGGAATCAAAACCATACCAGTTGACACGGCTTCGCCAAGGCCCAATTTGCCCAGTTCGTCTGGGGTCCCATTTCGACCAGGGCCCAAATTTGCCCGGGCCCAAATTCAATGACATAAAACAATGACCATCTCATGCTGGATAATTTTATACCACATATGTCGGGGTGGATCGCAGTGAAGAAGCGTGATGGGCGAACACAACACACAGAGACATTTTGATTTTATTTATATAGATTAAGTCACCGATTGTTATAGTAATATGTTTCAAACAGATGCCCTGATGACCAAGACTCCTGGTTGGCAAATAGTCCAGACAACCACTGTTTGTAAATGCTTGAGGGGCCAGTGTAAGATTTATTTTGCGTCAGGAATTAACGAAGAAATGGGTCTTGGACTAAATTATATATTGTCTGAAAAATGCACAATCGGCGTGGATTGGGTGCGGGGGGAGGGGCAGAGTAGGCCAAAACAAACTTTTTCAAACAGTGACCAAATGATGAAAAAAATTGAAATTTAAGTGGATATAAAAGGAAAAATATGAAAATTATTCCATCCTGCAAAATAAAGTGCCCAAAATCCATGACTTTTACTGATAATTGGGTTGGGTGATGCAAAACCACACAATTCTGATTTTGATTCAGAGTGTCTAGTATTCAAACTCAAACTGCATTTCCAGAAAATTTGCTCCGCTCCGCGCTACTTGCCATTATTTTTCGAGATTTTACTATGGTTATTTTGTGATCGGGCTCTATCTGTAAAGTTTTCTGGGTTCATTTTTCGGGCGATGTCACTGTATTTTTCAGGCAATAATGCCTATGTCAGTTACTTTAAATCATTTAGCAGTCGTTTCGATTAAAATTGTCTGTAATTGTTTTTCTTTATATTTCAGACAAAAATCAAGAATAAAGATGGTGTGAAATGATTAAAAGTTTATTTGTGTTGCGACCAAGTTATAAATCATTCCAAAAATTATTTAATTTATCTCTCAAGACTCGTAATTACTTCACCTCATCTAAAATGGCTAAAAGTAAATTTGAGTATGTAAAAACATTTGAAATAGAAGACCGATGTTTACCTGGGTGTTGGATCGTCGTTAGGATTGATGGTAAATCCTTTCACAGGTAAATTTATGAAATATTTTTTTTAATGAAAATAGAAATGAAATAGGGTTTAACATCTTACTGTTCTGCTCCGACTGGACTAACGAAGGCGGGCATACGCCATAGAGTGTTCCATGAGGGAAATTTTTCCAGAACAGCGGAGCTAAGGTCTACTCTTCAGTCGAATTCCAACTGCCATGGGATCTTTTACAGGCAGGCCAAGGGATCTTTTAGGTACACAGCAATGTGTACACAGGACCTTGGTATTTCATCCCAGCAAAACGACTATACGTTGTCCCTTGCCGGGCCCTCTGTCTTGCAAGGGGGAACTACGCCGAAAAATCCTGATGAAACTTCTTGGCCAATGCAGGTATCAAAAACACAACCTCCAGGTTAGTGAGCCAACGTTTTTACTCACTGAGCCACCTTGAATCACAGATGTTTACATTAAAATATCTGAATGTCATATACATTGTTCGGACAATGTCAAATTTGTATTGTTTTTTTTTTTCATGGAAAAAGACGGGATCCTACATCACATGTATTTTGTAATTTCTCATTACGAAAACAGATGCTGCATTACCTTCAGGAAAACTCTTTATTTTTCTGAGAAATTCTGAACTAAAAAATCACGACCCTGACTTGTGTGATGACGTGTAAATAATCAAGTATTTTGGTATCACTTCTGTCTTTCTGTATGTTCATAATTCTAATCACAAGTAGAAAATAATTCTTTAGATTATTTTTTTCAAACTTGCTTAATCTGATTAAAGCACAGATCCTATTTCGTGTCCATTTTTATAGTTTAAAATTTCGTTTTACTTGTCTTTACTACACTAGGATCTGGAAGTCATTATATTACCGGCATTTTGGTTGAAGTGAGGGATTAGCGAATGAAACGGTCTGTGGGTAAATCACTAGAAACGTCAACACTGATTGATTAATCAAAGTCTGATGTCATAGGGTCAAAAGCCGTTTGTACGACCCCTGACATGATCTTCATGTAATGTAGGCCTTCGAAAGTATAAAAAAACGAAACAAAATATAGATCTGTATTTTAATCAGATTGAGACTTGCTGGAATTCTAACGATAGTCTTGTAGAATTGTTGCCCCTGTCACGGAAACCCTGTAAGTACCATAACAGTCAGAGTTTATTATATATTTATTGCCTGATAATACTTTGATTTTTGTCCCCCACCTTTCGAAGAAAGCAGGGGACTATTAAAATTGGTTCTTCCGTTCGTCCATCCGTCTGTCCGTCACACTTTTTGGGAACAATAACTCTATTTCTAATTGAGCTAGAATGTTCAAACTTGGTGCAGGTGTTTATTTTTTAATTCTTTTTTTTCAGATTTTCCGATGTTCACCATTTTGTTAAACCTAATGATGAGAGAGCTCTTGGGTTAATGTCTCGTGCTGCACAGAAAGTTCTAGAAGATTTCAAGGATGTAGTTTTAGCGTATGGTCAGAGTGATGAATTTAGTTTTGTTTTTAAAAAAGATACGTCCGTTTACAACAGAAGAAACAGGTACAGTATCTTTAGTTTGAGATTGGGAAAAATAATCGCTGTCCCATAGAAAAATAATTACGTCTCTGGGTCCTGTTTCACGAAATTTTAACTAAGATAAAATCCAAATTTTAGTAATTCGATTGGAAAAATATTGGATTGATTTTAGTGCTTATCCAATCAAATTTGAAGTATCTACTAAAATTTGGATTTTATCTTTAGTTAAGACTTCGAGAAACAATGATCATCATTGTCGAATTTTAAACCCCTTGAAAACTACAAAATTGTGAATGTTAAATCGCTGATCGATATAAATGTAGAAGTCCTAAAATGGTCATATTCCTGAAGCAATGTCCAGAGAAATCCCGCTCTGGCCATTATCGGATTGGCTTCTGATACTTGAGCTTTTGAGGGAGTGTGTCTATTCTTCCCGTTCAATCAAATCTATCCCAAGTACAGTAACATGACAGACCTTCGTTTAATCTGGGGTCTTCCCTAAAACTTTGGACAGTGATTTAAGGTATTAAAAACGGTGAAAGTATTGTTCATCCCCAAATTGTATTGTTTATATTGTATCCGTTGATAGCCTCGCTTGTCACACAATTAGTTTTTCTGCAATATTCTGCTATGCACTGGTTAATTGGGCATAATAAAATCATGAGTAATGACGTAACATTATGTAAACATATTTGGTCCAATTGGGAGCTCTGATTAAAGGGTAATGATATTGTTACGCAGTTAGCTATTGGTTGTTAATCGGACTATTGACCGGTCGTAATTTGGAACAGAAATTTGCTTTCATTACGGCAGTGTTAAGTGGGATTAGGTATAATCAAACGAAACACTGCGAGGAGTATGTAAAATGGTTCAATATTGTGAAAGTTAAATCTCTAAAAGGTATATATATGTTGTGGATATAGGCCTACATATGAATATTAGAATGTTTTATACATGCAACATATTTTGAATTTTTTTCTATTTTCAGTAAAATAGTGACGAATGTAGTTAGTTTATTTACGTCAGCGTTTGTTTTATATTGGCCGAGATTCTTCAGTACACAAGATCTACAATATCCTCCATCATTTGATGGTCGAGTTGTTTTATATCCTAACGATGAAATATTACGAGATTATTTATCATGGAGACAGGCTGACTGTAAGTTTTTAATTTAATTCTTACCTGGGCATGGACGGGTGATTGAGTTGCCTATCTGTCTTTGTTAGCACAGTAGGTGCTGAAAATTAATAAGTTAAACCCCATTTCATTTTATTTAGTGGTCTTAAGTATGCGTTTTAGATCATAAGGGGGGGGGATAAGGACGGAGGGCCTGATAAGGACAGCCGTCTAGTCGTCCGGTGTACACGTTGGTGTGCACGTAAAAGATCCCTTGGCAGTTGGAATTTGATATAAGAGTAGGCTGTAGGCAAAATTTCCCTCATAGTGTATGCCCGTCTTCATTAGTCCAGTTCGGAGCAGAACAGTAGGACGTTAAACCCCATTTCATTTCATTTCATAGATCATAAGGTCTGACATTGAATCATGTGATGTGGTTTCGATCTCAAGCTTGTATGTGTAGGGTGTCCTGTGTGTAAAGTGACCCGAACAACCTCATGGGTTTTCTCCAGTTTCCTTCCATTAACCCCATTTCATCTTTAAATTGAGTTCAAATTTACATACAGTCATTATATTCATGAGGCAAACATTTCTGATAATTATTGTTTGCTAATGAGGATCTCCAATAACACTGATATTGCAAGTCCTTCATTCGTTAGTCTATAAGTTTGTAAGCTTGAAGTCACAGGTCAGTTTTGCGTCATCTGTGTACACTTGGATTTAGGATGCACAGATGCAAAATCACCTTCAGTTTTACCAAATATATAGGAAGATAGAAATTATTTAGTGAAACTACCCATAGGCAAACTGTTTTGACCCATGCTGTGATTTAAAAAAAAAAAAAGATTCATTCTGGTCAAAGACAGTTCCTCAAATATCTATTTTTAGGATTAACACATCCTTAATGATTTTTACTGGATTGAGCCTTTAAAGTTGCTGCATTTTTGGACAAATCTAACTTTTGCTCAATTTTTTCTTTAACGATAGGTTGCCAAGCAACAAATTGTACACACAAGTCTTCCATAAGGACTGGCACATTTTTATTCTTTTGAAGGAAATGGGAATATTTTTACAAGACACTAAAACGGATCAAGGGCAACAACTCATGAATTTAAGATATATTCAACTTTTAAATGAGAATGTATATTTTTATATTACAGGTCATATAAATAATTTATATAATACGGTATTCTGGAAATTAGTTCAAGATAAAGGTTTAACACCTGCACAATCTCAACAACGACTCAAGGTAAGTTCATCACAGGGGCAGTGATATGAAACAACGACTCAAGGTAGGTTCATCATATTAGCAGTGGTATGAAACATTGACTCAAGGTAGGTTCATCACATTGACAGTGGTATGAAACAACGACTCAAGGTAATATTCTATAAGTGGCATTTGGTAACTGAGCAGATAAATAAACTATAAACATACCTATTTATTTAGGCGAAGTTTTGATGAATATTCTCTCAAAGTTTTCAAGCTAAAACGTTTCCCCCCAAATCTGACGTAGCTTTTAAATATTTGTTTGTATGTGATTGTTTGTGAAGAATGATTTGTATGATGTTCTTATTTATATATTTCAGGGAACATTATCCAGTGATAAAAATGAAATCTTATATTCTGAATTTGATATTAATTATAACACATTACCAGAATTATACAGAAAAGGAACAGTTTTAATACGCAATAAGGTATGATGTTCAGTAGTCATGTGGTTAGGGCACTTGACTCACGACTAGAGAGAGATAGACAGTAAGAGAGATGGGGGTTTAATGTCAACGCAACACAAAATAAGTCTTTTCGGTATTAACATATGGTTCAGTTTTATTTATATAATTCGCTTGGTCGTATTGGTCTTTGGTAGTGAGAGAAGGAAACCGACGAAAACACATGAGATTGGACAAACGGCCCTACTCCTTGTCACATGCAAGCGGGGAATCGCTACTTGACTCAATGAAAGACCATATAATCTAAGGCGTACGTGTCCCCCTCCCCCCTTTCAAATTTTTTATATCCTGGTTTCGAATCCTTGTGTGCACCGAGACAAACCCTGTTAGTGTTGGTGCCTTCGGGGGCTGACAAAGACAATGTGCTTAGTAATTCCGATGAGAAGAAAAGTGACGTCCATAAGCTGCAGTCCGATGATCAGATTAAAAAGTTTTGTATATATGTTGTTTAACGGTTTAAGTCTACTGAATTTCAAACAAAAACTTAAAAAATTAAAGGGGTCTAGTTATTTTAAATATACAGTACACACATTTTGAAATCTGAAAAATCTATATTTTAATTTTTTTTATTAATTGATTTAAAAAGATTTTTTTGTTAATTTATTACAGGAGACTGATGGATCTAATGAAGCTAAAAGTAAATCGAGTTTTTCCAATTCTCATAAATCAAACTTATTTAGTCCGAGAATCAGTGTTCTACATGTGGATATTATTAGTGAATCTTTCTGGCGAGAACACCCCGAAATATTAAACTCTAAAAAATCATGATAGACAGAAAAAAATGAATGAAATGGGTTTAAAGTCCTACTGTGCTGCACCAATGAAGAGGGTATGATAGACAGACAATATTAAAAAGGCCATGTGCTTCAGGGAGGAATAAATTATGAATTACTTTATTTGTATAGAAAATAGAACTGGATAATTTTGATTAGACCGGAATATCTAGTCTTTTATTTGGCTGTTTTTGATATTGTGACAATATGCCAATTAAAGACTAGATTATGTTGAACCGTTCAAATGACAAGAAAGCTGAATAACTATTACAAATATATCAAAATAATATATGGATTTAGGACTGCTGATGCCAGGACAATTGCCCTTCTCTAGACAATTGCCCCCCAGATATATATATTTTTTTAATGAATATCTTCTGAAGTAGTTTTTTGAAATAAAATAATCAGTGTATGTTTCTAGTATTTAAAGTAAAATATATTATTTTTTCTTGGTGAATAATTGTTGTAGATTCAGTGAGATACAACTGTCCTACCCTCGGGTGAATTCCCTGTTTTCTTATCTTGAATCTGAAATATATAAATTATGGGGATGCTCTGTCAGGAACATCCCCAACTGACAGAATTGCAAAAGAGTGAAAAGGTGACAACATAAGAAAATATATCAACTAACCATGACAGCTGAAACATATTCATTTATTTGTTACGTCCAGTTCAACTCACACCACCTCAGGCGAGTGTATTGGCAGAACTGTGACACAACTGAATTTAACGTCACTCAGTCGCAATACTGTCAATTCGAGATGGACAATTGAGCATCGCCTCTGTATCGTCTGTGAGCTAGTATTAAATACTACGACTCTGTGTATCAGTTTCTTATTTAATGTTTTAGTTTCAAACCATTGTCGGGAAACTGTTCCAAACTATTGGGTTTCTACTGTCTGTCACATAGTTTAAAATAGTCTGTCACATAGTTTAAAATAGTCTGTCTAGATTCGATAATGAATGTGGGTTTACAACTGTTTAGTTTCTCGAAAGGTGTTGAGTAATTAACAGACTGACTTATTACTCAACACTGCTCCAGAAACTAAACAGTTGTAAACCCACATTTATCTAATTCGTATTCGGTATCCCCAGTGAATATATCTAATCTAGATGGACCATTTTAAATTACTCAGCAGTAGGAACACAATGGTTTTCTGAGATTCTCAACAAATTGTAACAATTTTCCAACAATGGTTTGAAAGTAAACATTAAATACAAAAAATCCTGCTAAAACAGCACAAACTAGATGATACCAAAGTTGTAGTGAATTGTAGATGGATTATCTAACCGGGAATAGGGTGCCCCGAGCTAAAAAAAATCTCGAAAACTATTTACAGTTATGACACTATATCTATATAAACAACAACCCTAAATAATCCTTTATTATAAACGGCCAAGAAACTATACCTGCATGCTACATTTCACAAGATATATCCATTCGACTGTACGTTAAAATACACTGCTTTTGACCTGTAAAGTAAATAAATATAGAACAATGGCTGATCATCTGTTGTAACCAATTTACTCTCTAGGCATGCTCGATTGTCAACCCGGAATAGTCCAAATCAATCCGGAATAGTCCAAATCAATCCGGAATAGTCCAAATCAACAGTATTACAATAAAGTCTAAAACGGTGATTAAAATCTTTATACAGTGGCTCAGTGAGTAAGACGTTTGGATGGTATGAAAAAATAAGGCCCTGTGTACACTTTGGCATGCATGTAAATGAACCCTTGACAGAGATAGAGAGAGAGAGAGAAATGGGGTTTAACGTCCACTCGCCACAAACCAGGTCATTTTGGGACCAACACATGGTTCAGTTTTATTTCAATAATTCATTTCCACATAGGGGTCATAAGCAGTGGGAGGACCCGGAGAAAACCAATGAGGTTGGACAGGCGACCCTACTCCTTGTCACATACAACCAGGGAATCGAAATCACACCAGTTAACTCAATGACAGACTTTATGATACTAACCATTTGGCCATCCAACCCCCCTCGAAACCTTGACAGAGTAATGAAGTTGGAGTTACAGTATTACTTGTTAAATATTCTAACCCCACTACACTACACCACTCCAGCTGGTGGTTGGTGTATAATCGTTGCCTGGCAACTCCTAGTGAAAATGCTCCTGTTTTAAAAAAGCTATGCACCAAGTTTCATCTCACTCATTCAAAGTTATTGTATTCCAAAGCATTAAACATTGTTCATCTCTGGTTAAAAAATACTCATCAAACTCCATCAAGGCATGCAGACACTAATAAACACTTACACCAAGTTTAAACATTATAGCTCAATTAAAAGCAGAGTTATTGTGTCTGAAAAAGTGACAGAAAGACCTTTATGGTCTAACATGCACGCATTACACCATTTGGCCAAATGCCCACCCGCTTGACTCAATGGCAGACCCATTAATGAGAGAGAGAAATGGGGTTTAACGTCCATTCGACATAAACAAGGTCATTTCGGGACTAACATATGGTTCAATTTTATTTCAATAATTCGCTTGCGCGTAGGGGTCTTTAGCAGTGGGAGGAAACCGGAGGAGCCGGAGAAAACCCATGAGGTTGGACAAACGGGAAACAAAACAATGCAACTTGACTCAATGACAGACCTTATGGTGCACATTAATCATTCGGCCATCCGACCCCCCCCCTCCTCCCGACCTTTTACCGGATGGACCACAGACAGGGTGTAGAACATAAGCCCACTATATGTTTTATTTATTTATTTATTTATACTGTACATGTGATAATATTACATCTATATACAATATATAAATATCACACAATGTATTAACAATAGGCAATAAACAAAGACATGTGACATTATATATATATATATACCTAATAACTAGGGTTTTCACTTTAATAAATGGCAAGTTGGTCAATTGGTGACATATTTTTATTTTACCTTGGACAAGCAAGATATTTTCTCCAGAGAAAGGAAACCTTTTCCCCAAAGAAAGGAGACATTTTCTATCAGATATTTTATTCTGTGAGAGAAATTCAAGAAGTAAATTTAAATTATGTGAATATTTAAAATTGTGACATGAATAAGTAAGATTTTGATTCAATCTCTGAGACAAAAAAATGTCTACTCCTAAACCAAAACCTCTCTCTAAAAGTTCCCTCTTAAATTTTAAAGCATAGATAAACGAAATGCTTGAATCCATACTATTAGTATTATACTTTAAAATTTAGTTAAACATACATTATGTAAGAGCTAAATCTGCCATGTCTTTCTTTAGGCCTGAAATGTTATCTAAATTATTAATTACACATTAATTAATTAACTTATCCAGACAATAATCAACTCTCGATGGCATCGCTAGCCTGCGATATTTACTGGATTATGATTCCATTTGCTGCTCGACTTCCATTCATAATTTAATCATGAAATGGATAATCGAGACTGTTTTTCGTCGTACAGACTTCAGTAACGATGATCGAGACTAGGTCGAAATTCCAATTGCTTAATTCTCGGTTCATAGTGGATCAATTTGACTGAAATTTTCAGCAAATTGCCTTTACATTATCTAGTTTTTAACTATTATAATGAGAACTACCAGCTCTTTATCTAATCTCCCATAATGTATCTTTAATAATTTAAAACTTGTGCATTTGATTATATTCTTTAATAAAACAATAAAACGATCTGTAAAATCTGTCTTCAATCTTTTTTATAAAAAAAAGAAGAAAAAAACCCAAACAAACTTCGATTTTTCAGTGACTTAGATAAATCTCAAGACCAAAAGCTGGTCAATATTTTTGGTACATTTCAGATTGTTTCAAGGGTCTATCTATAGTGAAGCCCTTTTAAAGGAAATCTTGTAACCAGGTGAGGACTTTCAATCCTGATGCCATCTCTAGACTGTTATTAAATCTGAAAACATGGAAACTTCCTACCTTGATATCACAACACGCTCTTCAACTAGCAGTAGTCTCCCTTTATTATGCTATTTATAGAAACAAGTTTATTTATAAATGCTGAATCAATAGAGAACTAGGGATGATCTATTGAACAGTACAACCATGCAATCTAGTCCCTCCCAATTTTATAGAAAATAAATAGATTAATACTTTAAATTATTTCATTGCAAGATAAATCTCAAAACCATTTATATCTATATGTCCACATGAGGTGAATGAAGGGTGTGAAATTAGTTCAATAACGTAAAGTCCTGGACTCGACAAAATTAGAATATATCAGCTTCTCTTCTTCCAAAAATTCAGCTACAAGTTACATGTACAGTAACAACAGTTGGAGTCGATCAATGTTGGTTTGTAGAAATTTACTCTTACCATGGCATCCACCATACTTTGAGTCACTTTTGTGTCATATGCAGCCATTATGAAAAATTGAAAATTTTGAAACATTCGTGCTTCTTTTTTAATCCAAACAGAATTCAAGGCTTGAGATTATTGATCGTTGATATTAAAACTTTCTTAATTAAATATTAAATAATCATTTTGAGTGCATATTAAAATGGATTAAACTATGATTTTTTTTTTATTTTGTCCAAACAATGTTGATATGGAAATTGAAATTATTCGATTTTTAGATATGAAAGAAATAAAACACAGGTAAAAAAAATATGCAGAGTCCTAAAAGATGTTTCCACCTTCTCTGTGATACATTTTCAGAATTCACATTTAATACATGACACTTGTTCGATTGACAGATTGGGTCACACATTCCCCCCCCCCCACCCAACCCCCAAAAAATATTTCTATCTCCGCTGCAATATTTTTTCCACATTCCACATTTCATCCATGAAGTCTGTTCGACTGACATATTCTGTAAAATTTTTTAAAAAAAGAAGAGCGCTGTGACATAATTTCAATAATTCACATTTGATCCATTACACTTGTTCGATTGTGTTAATATTTAAAATAAGACCTGCAATTAGTTATATTTTAAACAATTCACATTTGATCCATGAAGCCTGTTCGATTGACACGGTTTTTAATTTATCACAATAAATATGGTTGTTGGAAGATTCGGTCTACCCCTGAGGCGTCGTTCCATTTTCTAACCCACGAAGTTGTTTTAAAACAGTGTCCACTAATTTCTTTTTGTCACGTTCGTTCTTTTTTAACGATGTAAATAAATTGTTCTTTTTCTTGTCGGCATTGTTTAATCTGAAGAAAAAAATAAATAGTACAAATTTTATGAAATGATTTATTGAGTAATTAATTTTATACACTGATGTGATATTAAATCTTATTAATAAAACATGTTTGAGGAGACACTGTGGCACATTGAGTAAGATGCTGGCTCCTCAAAAATGACTGGAAATGAAAGGTGTTATGCACAAGGCAGGGTATACCTACTCTTTCTAGATAACCTGATACCACGTCGGATTTGAATTCACATACTATGCTTACTGTGTACTTGACTTTCTAAAACACCTGATACCACTTTTATAATTTGTACTTACTTTTCTGGAACACTTGATACCACTTTTATAATTTGTACTTAAGTTTCTAGAACACTTTAATAATTTGTACTTAAGTTTTTAGAACACTTGATACCACTTTTATAATTTGTACTTAATTTTCTAAAACACTTGAATACTTTGTTCTTAATTTTCTAGAAAATTTGATACCACTTTCATAATTTGTACTTACTTTTCTAGAACACCCGATACCACTTTTATAATTTGTACTTAATTTTCTAGAACACTTGATACCACTTTTATAATTTGTACTTAATATTCTAGAACACTTGAATAATTTGTACTTAATTTTCTAGAAAATTTGATACCACTTTTATAATTTGTACTTAATTTTCTAGAACACCTGATACCACTTTTATAATTTGTACTTTTTTCTAGAACACTTGATACCATTTTTATACATTGTACTTACTTTTCTAGAACACTTTTATAATTTGTACCTAATTTTCTAGAACACTTGATACCATTTTTTATCAATTGTACTTACTTTTCTAGAACACTTGATACCTCTTTTATAATTTGTACTTAATTTTCTAGAACACTTGATACCATTTCTAGAACACTTGATACCACTTTTATAATTTGTACTTACTTTTCTAGAAGATTGATGGCTGTGTGTCTCTGAACTCGGATATATTTTGATTGTTGTTTACCAAAATCTGCCAAATATATCGACCAGTCCCAATTTAAAAACAGATCTAATAACTGAAATATAAAACAATATACACTTTTCTACATGAAACCACCGACGAGAGCCATGGGGGTCATCTTAGTATATTCCAGCCTTGTTTCTTCTGTCAGTGGCGCTTGACGAACGAGAACGAGAAGGAAAAGTCGGAAAATGTCTGTGAATACCACCGACAACATGTTAAAGATCACATGACAGTTGTAAATCAAAAAGGGAATCTCCCATGTTGCACATTGAATGATGTATGCCAGTTGTCATTAGCCCGGTTAGTGGAGTCAAATAGGATGATAAAACCAATTTCATTTCATTTTTGAATTTCTGAATCTTAAAAATCCTTTCTCATGTATGTACATGTAAGCACCAATATTGCTATTAGAATCTTAGAAATCATTCATGTATGGATCAGAATCATAATAATTATGTCTCAGATCAGATTCTTATTTAAATTATCGTAATGACTTGTCTCACATCTGATTATTTAAATGATCATAATGACATGGCTCACATCCGCTTTTTATTATAATGACTTGTCTCACATCAAATTGTTATTATAACATCTTGGCTCACATCAGATTGTTATTATAATGACTTGTCTCACATCAGATTGTTATTATAATGATTTGTTTCACATTAGGTTATTATTATAATGACTTGTCTCACATCAGATTGTTATTATATCGATTTGTTTCACATTAGATTGTTATTATAACATCTTGTCTCACATCAGATTGTTATTATAACATCTTGGCTCACATCAGATTGTTATTATAACATCTGGTCTCACATCAGATTGTTATTATAACAACTTGTCTCACATCAGATTGTTATTATAACAACTTGTGTCATATTAGATTGTTATTAGAATTGAATCAGATTGTTATTATATGACTTGTTTCAAATCAGATTGTTATTAAAGAATTATTATAATTAGCCCAGACAAATTTAAATTTGGGAACACACATTAAAACTTCTTCCACCAATTTCTTCAGGAAAAAAACTCATCTAAAACAGAAAGTGCTCACTTCTGTTCTCAAAAGGCTTTAGTTTCAAATATTTAAAGTGCACATAAGATGGCCGACATTACTTTTCGGTACGTATAGCCAATTGTTACTATATCCACATTCAGGCAAGTTCATACCAATCTGATTAAAATTAATTCAGCTATTAACGTTTAAGTATCTGACACTCCAAAACACTTTTCAATTTTTCAATTACGACCCCAATTGGGTTGGTTGGCTCGTGATGTCACAGGGACTACACATAGTATATACATTATCTATTTTAACAAACCATTGCACACAAAAATTGAGTGGAGCATTTATTGATTAAAACCACAAAGAACTAAAAACTAAATTTGTTTCGCCTTACTTGTCTCAGATCAGCAAAAGCTAGCTTGAGTGTTCCATCGTTCGAACCAGGCACAGGTTCAGACTCAGCAAATTCTGTAAAATAAAAATAAAATACATTAACTCTCATGACTGGGCAAATAAACATTTTTATAATATTGATTTTTAATATCTGTTTAATTACAGAGAGAGAGAAATGGGGTTTAACGTCCACTTGACACAAACTAGGTCATTTCGAGACTAACATATGGTTTAATTTTATTTCCATAATTCATTTGTTCCTAGGGCTCTTTAGCAGTGAGAGGAAACTGTAGGACTCGTAGAAAACCCACAAGGTTAGACAGGTGACCCTACTCCTTGTCGCGTACAAGTGGGGAATGGAAACCACGCTACTTAACTTAATGACAAACTGTTAAATTAAAGTCTGAATGGCATTTAAGGGATTGAAAAATTTGCAAACTACTGGTACAAATTCACATGCCAAAGAAGAGTTTCAAAGAACAGTTAAATCTATGGATTTTATGTGCAAAAAACCCCCCAAAATATACCGAAAAATTAAGATAATGCTAAAAAAAGAAATTGACATATTCTTTGAAAAAAAATATTTTGCTTATTCATAGTAAACAAAATAAGTTAAAAATTTAGAATTAAAAGCCCAGATTTTAATCTAATCACAGCACATTGATACCAAAATGAAATGGTGTTTAACGTCCTACTGTTCTGCTCCGACTGGGCTAATGAAGACGGGCATACACCATACAGTGTGCTATGAGGGAAAGTTTGTCCGAGCAGCGGCGCTACAGGCTACTCTTATATCTAAGTCCAAATGCCAAGGGATCTTTTACGTGCATGCCAATGTATACACAGGACCTCGGTTTTTCATCCCATCCAAGCGACTAGACAGCTCTCCTTGTCAGGCCCTCCGTCCTGCACCAATGACAAGAAAAACCACGATGGAAAATCCTTATGAATTTTCTCGGCGAATGCAGGATCGAACACCCGACCTCCAGGCTAGCGAGCTAGAGTCCTACCCACTTAGCCACCGTGGCTCCCACACTGATACCAATACTGGGATCTGGAATTAGCGGTTGACAATTTCTATAGCAGACATGTTACTTTCCTGCCTTATTTACACTGACCTTCACACTGTATTAAATCAAGGTTAAACTGTTGAAGTGATCCCATCGTCATTTGTCTGACGTCATTATCAACGAGAAACTCCATGAGAACAGACGCGATATGTTGACACGCTGACATGCATGCTGTTCTCGCTACCTTTTCCTGTAAGAAACAGCAGCAAGAATAATCACAAAGGTCACATGTCCATATATGGTAATTACAAAATCTATGTCAAACACAAAATCAATACGCCATGAAATCAAAGTCGCAACATGCCAGAATAAAGGTTAATATCGAGTTCAAGTCCAAAAATAAGATAGTATGAACTCAAAGTAAGATTTGAACTCAAAGTAAGATTTGAACCCAATGTAAGATTTGAACCCAATGTAAGATTTGAACCCAATGTAACTCAGAAGTTTGTTCATGTCAAACATTCAGATGAACTAAACAAAATGTTACGAGTTACGACTCAATAAATGTGAAAGAAGTTTACGAGGAATACAGAAATAAAACAAACAGACTGACAGTGAGACTCATGCCCCCCTCGTCTACATCCAAAATAACTCATTACTTGCACATTTAATCATTTATCTTTTCATAAAGCATCAAGCAATCAAATTGTTTGTTGCTTAATCGTAGCAGAAAATGATAATTATCGAAAATAGTCAAGGTTTTGATGAAACGAAACTATACAACAAGTTTTAGCTCTTTCACTCAATTAGAATAAAAGCTATAATGGACAAATCCAATTGCTTAGCTTTAAGAAGAAAAGCTAACCGAGTATAAACATGACAGACGGCCAAACCGATTTTAATAGACCATTGTTTTCTCTGAAGAAAAATAGAATGTATACAGGCCTGAAAAAAATAGTTAACGTCGAACTTGATGTTTTGAACTTTATGCCCTGCATGTATTAAAAACACTATTGAAAAAAAAATCAGTGCAGTGTCCAGAGAGGGCAATGACCCCGAGCATCCAATTCAAGGGACCATCAAATCACAGATGGAAACTGAGTGAAGTTTTTCAAAATTATCTCTGTTATACAACCTCTTTAGTGCCCTATTTAACTTGAAAAAAAAAAGTTCATTTCATCTGTTTTGAGGGAAGCCACAGTGGCTACATGTAAGTGAGTAAGACACTGGCTTGCTAACCTGGAGGTCGCTGGTTGCACCACTGACAAGAGGAAACCACATTGAGAAATCCCGATGAACTTATTCGCCCAATGCAGGGATCCAGCAAATGACCTCCAGGCTAACAACCCAGTTTCTTACCCACTTAGCCATCGTGGCTCCCTTTAGATAAAGAGCTCGCCATTCTTGCTATAATAGTTTCAAAATAGATAATGCAAAATAAATATATTGAAAATTTCATTCAAATTACTCTATTGTGAGCGAATACACTAGTCTTTGAAGGTTTGACAAGACGTGTGCACCGATTGTAACCACTGTACCAATTGTTCGAAGTGAAGTCTCGCTTCTCCATTTTTGAATTAAATCAAAATATGGCTGAACCATTCTTATCTATTTAACAACGGAGATATCCGATGGCATGGAGAGTTGATTATGGTCTTTTCGTGTTAATTAATGTCTAATTAATAATTTAGATAACATTTCAGGCCTAAATAAAGACCTGCAATAGGCAGATTTAGCTCTTGCATAATATATGTTTAAATTAAGTTAAGATTTTAACTTTCAGCCAATGGAAAGATTAAATTCTTAAAATATTTTAATTTTCAGTTCTGATAAATAAGATCTCTTATAAATAATTTTGTGCCGTATTATGGGAAGTATATTTGTATATATATAAGTGAAAGGGGTTTCACATTCACTAAGGGACGTGCTGTATGCTTTCTTCTATCATGCATGACATCATGATCAGCTGTTATATAAATGATCTAGTCTACCAATGTACATCATTTGACAGTGTTAGACTGGATAACATGGACTACTATTTTGTTAAAACTGTGCATATATACATCAGGCCCGTTGTAAGATCTGGTCATAAGTTTAAAAATTTTCTGAGGGTCAAGCCAATGGAACCCCATTTTAATTTGATATGCCCCCAGCCTGCCTAATATGAGTTTCACTCCAACGGGCCTCTATATGTATAAAATATATTATTCTATATAAGTGATGTAATATAAGGGAATACTACATATATTCACACACTGCTCGTTTGCATTTTTAAACACTTTTTTTCATTTATGAATTAACTTCCATAACCTTATATATTAATAAATTATAATGAATATTATTCACTAAAACCGTTACATATATTAATGCTCAAATTCTGGATGAAAGTCGAGAAATTCGAAAAATATAAAGCTTTGCCGAACATTAGAACAAAAAAAAAATAATAATAATTTATTTAATATTTAAATAAAAAAAAAATAAAATACACAAGCAAACAAAAAATAATTTATTAGTAAATGGGGTAACACAACTTTTTGTTCTCAGTCAGTAACAAATTAAATATATTGAATGTCTATATCACAGCTAGATATAAAATAAATATATTGTTTATATCACAAAAGATTTCATAAAGACAAAAAATTAAATGATATTGAAAACAAAATGCGGCAAGCCTTAACCCTTTGAGTAGCCGTGACGTTATAGTTCTGCAATAGTCACTTGTTTACATGGGAACACCTAACAACAATTATTGGTATGCTAGCAGAATATTGACCCCCCCCCCCACAAAAAAACAAACAAACAAACAAGAAAGCAACGTTGTAATGCCTAAAATCGTGGAGGTATCCTTTTATAAAAACACAACACTGTTTCCGTTATTTAAATTATCTTTCTACTGACTGAGAATCTGTCTATGAATAGGAATCTGGGATGAATTATCTAATGAACAAAAACAAGGGGAGAACCTGAATCAATTAATTAACTTACAGTCCAGGGAAATCAATTAGAATTAATCAATAAGTCAATCAACAAATCAATCAAAATAATTGATTAATGAACTGGTGGACTAATCAATCGATTAGAGATCAATTATTTATGCACAAAACGGACAGATAATCAATCAAATAGATTAATCGATCGATTAGAATTTAATAAAATTAGAGATCAATTAATCCTTTGATCAAAGGTACTAATTAATTGATAACAGATCCATTACTTCAGCAATCAAATGGACTAATCAATCCATTAGAAATTGATTCATCTAATGGGCTAATCAATCGATCAACCAATTAATCAATGAATTAAACCAAATCAATCATTCAAGGAACAGGCCAGGCAGCAATACACATTACTCACTGTATTTTTATCTCGGGCTACATCTTCACTCGTATAAAAATAACGCTTAGAAAAATAAAATGACAACATTGAACAACTTATTGACATTTAGACGGAGAACAGTACAGGTGGGACATAAAGTTTATAACAAAATATTTATTAAAACAAATGAACACTTTGAAAGAAAAGAAAATGAACATGACGATAATAATAATGAAGTTTCCAACAAAAATGTATAATGGCGCAAATAATGAATGACATATTGAAATTACACAATATATTATCAATCAATAACAAATTATAAATCAATAACAAATTATAAATCAATAACAAATTATAAACCAATAACAAATTATCAAGAAATATGTTTTGTTGTAGCCGGTTGATTTTCAAGGGATTGGAAGGTTGTTAATTATCTTCTGAAGATGACAACAAGTTTTAAATACAAGGTCATTTTGAGATCAGAATCTGGTACAATTTTATTTCAATAATTCGCTTACACGTAGGGGTATTTATAGCTGTGGAAGGAAACTGGAAGACTAGGAGAAAAAAAACGAGGTTGGACATGCCACCTTACTCCTTGTCACAGAAGACTAGGAGAAAACTCATGAGGTTAGACAGGCTACCTTACTCCTTGTCACGTACAAGCCGGGAATCGAAATCCACGCCACTGAATTCAAGGACAGACCATATGATCTAAAGAGCACAAGTGAAACCAATCGGCCACCTAACTGCACCTCTTTAAAGTAGATTAAGGACACTGATCTAGAGTAATCACTACACAGTTTGAGCGAAAAATAAAGTTCCTCCTTCAAGGCATAAAAGGAGGAGGGGTTGTGGAATTGAAAATCTAATCAAAACAAGATGTAATTTTCTTTGTTTATTTCGTCACTCCACTTAATTAAAATCTAAAAACATGTTTAACAAAAGAGAAATCTGGGCCTGAGACAATATCATAATACTTTTGACTAGGAGAAAACCAACGAGGTTGGACAGGCGACCCTACATCCTTGTCATGTCACTTGGCTAAACGACAGACCTTGTGATTTCCCAAGCACATGTTAAACCACTAGACCATAGCACCCATTCCTGCTTCCCTCATACGACTATGGAAAGGATCATCGCCACCACTCCCCACCCCACCCCACCCCTACTCATACAACTATGGAAAGGAGGGCTGATAATTTCTTGATGGCTCTACAAATTGTTTGCTTATTTTTGTTCTGGAAAAATAATTATTATGGCCAAATGGTAGTAAAATAAGATATAGATTATATGTAATGATATACTATATATATTTTGATACTAAGGCAACACAAATAAAATAACTTGTTTCTCGGGCACCGCCCGCACGCAAAATTGGTTGCGCGTGCAGTCTATTTATTAGTCTTGATGAAAAAAAATAAATATGTAACGCCCGCCCGCACATCGACAAGCAAGTCGTAAAAAAAATATCCCGCATGTACCTACATCCGCCATACATGTATATCTATTCAAATGTATTAAAACTGATTCAGATGAACATGCTGTCTTTTTTATCCGAACAATGGCGAAGTTTGGCAGATTTGCCTTTTTTATTGATATCGAAAGAACCTCCATTTTGTATCACGTGATATTAATTACCTCCCCTGATAAACTAGAATTTGATTCGTGTTAAAAGTCATTGGCGACAATATTTCAATCATTCGATCGTAATCGGCTCATTATTGCCGGCTTCAGTCGGTCCTTGTTTGGAAAATCCTATTGATAAAATAATGAACCGTAGAACAGGTTAATTAATTATAGCTAAGAATACGATACGATGACGATAGTCGTCATAATGCATACCTTAGAATCTGGGTCATTATTAGCACATTTACGGTAGTTTCGATAATCCGGAAAATAATAATTGGATTACCGATTTGATGGTTTTACTGACCAAGTTGTTAGTTAGATTTAAATAGTCATTCAATATAAACACCGGATAGAACACCGAATATCCTGAGAAACACACCGAATATCCCAAGAAACAGTATTTCCGGCAATCTCCAATACCGATGACACGGTGTGACATGCATTGGTTGGAATTCGGTAAATAATTATAAATAAACCGGCGATACTAGATTTAGTTTTAAATACTGTTTACCATGATTATTATTTTTGATACACCTGGTGAAAGAGGCTTAGTTTTTAAAAATATTGTTGTCTTTATGGAGGGCTATTACATAGTCGTATGGAATTTTATTTTAAACCAATTTCAATTATGTGAATTAAATATGGAAAATTATTTTCCTTTCAGTCAGTGTTCAGTCTCAGTGTTTTAGTAGACTTGATTTTGGGTTTATGTTTTAAGTATGTACAATAAAGTTGAATATAACGGAAAGCAAAAACGTAAACAAGTAATGACTTTCTCATTTAAAAAAAAAAAAAAGAAAGACCGCCCTCCCGCCCCAACAATTTTCAGCAATAGCCAAATTTTATTTTGCACCATCAATGAGTAAAAAAAAAAAAGAAACCGCCCTCCCTCCCTACAGTTTCAGCTGTCAGTTGCCCGAGAAACAAGACATTTATTTTGTGTGGCCTAAATAAGCTTTTCTCTAAATATACAGTCTCAAAAATAAATCCTATAATTATATAATAAACATATGTATTCTCTTGCACTAGCATAAATACAAGTATATTATACAGGGCTGAACCAAGCAAGCATAACTCTTTAACTACAGATTCTAATTTTTAATATACAGTCGGCCATTAGGTAATTTATAATCTTTAAAGTTTGAAATTTGTAAAGTTTTATCTAATCCTTATTCAAAAAAGAAGGGAAATGAAATGAAATGAAATAGGGTTTAATGTCCTACTCTTCTGCACCTAACCTGGGCTAATTGAAGACGGGCATACGCCACACAGTGTGCTATGAGGGAAATTTTGCCCGGGCAGCGGCGCTACGGCCTACTCGTATATCGAATTCCAACTGCCAAGGGATCTTTTACATGCACGCCAATCACTGACAAGGGGAAACCACGCCGGAAAATCGAGATGAACTTTCTTGGCCAATGCAGGGATCGAACACCCGACCTCCAGGCTAGCGAGCCAGCGCCTAAAAAGAAGGGAGAGAGAGAGAGAAATGGGGTTTAACGTTATTTCAATAATTCGGTTGCGCATAGGGGTCTTTAGCAGTGGGAGGAAACCAAAGGACTCCGAGAAAACCCAATAGGTTGTACAGGCGACCCTACTCCTTGTCACATACAACTGGGGAATCGAAACCACGCCAGTTAACTCAATGAAGTAGGACTCTGGGTAAAGTTTAGAGTGGTGGATACAGTCCTGAGACTACTGTAGGTAAAATAGTGGGCACAGCCCTAAGACTGCAGTTAGCGTAATGGGAACAAACTACCACAGTCTAATAGAGAGAACATATAGTACTTGTTCTACTTGACGTTATGAAGATGTTTATTTCTATAACAATGTTTTAAAAAGACAACTTACCGGTAAATTAGTGAAAGACATAAAGGTACTCTGTAAAAAGGCAACTAAATCCATTAAAAATCCGCTGGCACGTCCCTTCGGTTCATTTAACATCCAATCATAACTAGCTGTAGAAACAAAATTTGATCTCATGTTAAAATTAAAGTTTCTGTACTCCATTTGCATTTTTGGGAAAATATTAAATTTCAAACGCAACAATCTATGGGACACAAATTGATTATTTTATTAAGAAATCCATTTAGAGAGAGAGAAATGGGATTTAATGTCCACTAAACACAAACTAGGTCATTTCGAGATTAACATATGGTTCAAGTTTTTATTTCAATAATTCGCATGCGCATATGGGCCTTCAGCAGTGGGAGGAAACCAGAGGACCCAGATTAAACCCTCGAGGTAGGACAGGCGAGCCTACTCTTTGTCATGACAACCGGGGAATCAAAACCACGGCAGTTGACTCAATGCGCACGTGCTAACCATTTACCCCCACCCCACCCACTCAAGTCATTATATCTTGTTAAATATTGAATGGAATTGAACCAATTTTGGACAGATAGTCCTTTTAGGGATTCAATCCCCGGTTGTACTTGGCAAGGAGTAGGGTCGCCTGTCCAACCTCGTGGGTTTTCTCCGGGTCCTCTGGTTTCCTCCGACTGCTTAAGACCCCTACGTGCATGCGAATTATTGAAATAAAAACTTGAACCATATGTTAATCTTGAAATGACCTAGTTCGTGTCGAGTGGACGTTAAACCCCATTTCTCTCTCTCTCTCCTTTTAGGGATTCATCTGTCTTAAAATTGTCGTTTAAATTGGGGTTTAACGTCCTGCTGTTCTGCTCCGACTGGGCTAACGAAGATGGGCATACGCTATACAGTGTGCTATGAGGGAAATTTTGCTTGGACAGCGGCACTATGGCCTACTCTTATATCAAATTCCTACTGCCAAGGGATCTTTTACGTGCACACCACTGTATACATGGGACCTCGTTTTTTTGTCGCCATCCAAACCACTGACAGGGAGAAACCACGTCCGAAACTCCAGATGGACTTTCTAAGCCAATGCAGGGATCAAACACGCGACCTCCAGGCTAGCGAGCAAGCGTCTTACCCACTTAGCCACTGTGGCTCCCATTTGCATTCTTAAATGAAACAGTGGTGTAGAAAGAGTTTTAAGATTTTGGAGCATCCATTGATTCTATCTTACCTAATTCTAAGAATTCATCTATTTTTAGGTTAAGTTGGTGATATATATGCTGTTCTGCATCATTTCTAGCATCCTACAAATCATAATTAACCACAAAATATTAATAAACAGGGCTGCCGACAACCAGTATCGCAGCGCAATTTGCGATACATATTTTGTCCGTTGCTAACCAAAAATTAAAATCTAACGTTTTTGATTCGCAGTTACTGCGAATCATTAATATTCCTGTCATTTTGGATATTGACACAAGAATAATCCACATTTTGAAGACTAGAAGGCTTACTCAACACTTTCAACGTGTATAAAATGTTCAATAAAATTTAAAACAAAACTGAATTCTCCGTGTGACATTTTCTTCTCAAACTACCTAGACACAATACTATATAACACAGGGACATAACTCTATGAATAGGGACTTTTAAACCGGAAATAGGGAATCAAGTAGTACCACTCACGTTGCGAGATATCAAGTAATTATATCATATTCATTTTGAAAGAAATAAATCCAGTGTATCCCCCACGTATTGTAAATAAAATATAAAAAAATAAATACATGTTAACGTATTGTAAAATGATAAATTAAAGTAAAAATTCCCATAAAATATTATTGTTTATATCGCGTGTGTCTAGTTAATCGAGGTGCGCCCGATTGAACAAAAATAGTAATACACGATAAAAAGCAGACGAAATTGTTTTCTAACGAAGATTTCTAACGTAACAAAAAAATAATAATTAAAATGAGTGGGGCTTCGGAAGTCACTGTCAAGAATTGGCTTCAGACATAAGACCTAACTAAATGTCTACATCACATTCACAAACTGTCACAAGTACTTGTGGAAGTGCTAAAAAATCTAAGAATAGTCCGAATGGAATCTAATCATATTTGTTATGAATTAAAGTAATATCTTGTTATTTAGGTGTTTTACGCTGAAACTGAAAAACTGCTAATCAATTTTTAAATTTGCTAATCAAATTTGGCAAAATTGGACTTTTTGATTAGCAGTGCTGCTAATCAACTGTGAAAAATTACCGACAGCCCTGTTAATAAATGGCCATTCAGTTGTAAAATAAAAATGATTGTTGATTGAAAATAAGGAGCCATGGAGGCTCAGGTATAAGGAGTCAGGTCAGAGATACAGGACTAGCAACAGTTGATCGGAATGGGTTAAAACCAGAGGCACTGTACATACATTGGCATGCAGGCAACAGAACCCTTGAAAGTTAGAATTCGTTGGAAGAGCAGGCAGAACCGCATTTTTCGAGCCTTTTGCCTTTCTTCACTGGCCGGTTGATGCAGAAATGTAAGACTAAAAATCAGTTCATTGGCATTTCAGGCGTGGTTTCCCCTTGCCAATGATGCACAAAATGACTGTCTGACAAGGACAGTCATCGTCGTTTTGATAGGACAGAAAACCAGGGTCCTGTGTACACATTGGCTTGCATGTAAAAGATCCCTTAGTATTGGAATTTAGTATAAGAGTAGACCGTAGTGCCGCTGTCCAGGCAAAATTTCCCTCATGATGTATGTCTGTCTTCATTACCACAGTGATATCTGTGGTAAATGTATAACATTTGTATGTAATAATAAAAAAATCTAACACCTCCCCCCCCCCCCCAAAAAACCTGTTTGACTAAAAAATAATATTACCTTAAACATGGACGTGCCATGCAGTCGGGAAACATGAACGCTGTCTTTTTCAGCACTAAAAACAAAACAAAGAGAAATAATTTATCTTCACCAGTAGATTTATTTCAGACATTACCAGTGTAGGTATATACTGTCTTTTAACAAAGATTGAAGTAGTTTGTTTTTATAAATAGATAACAATATTGCTTGTTTTTAACAAAGAATGGATGTGGATGTTTTTTATAATTTATAACAATATTGCTACTTTACAGGAGTTAAATCTCTTTAATCTGTAAAAGGAGCATTATAGAAGATTGGATCAAGGGCTGGCAGTTCTCACTATAATAGTTAAATACTTGATAATGCAAAGGGAACATGCTGAAAATTTCAATCAAAATATTTGCGAATGAATTTTAAGGCCTAGCCTCGGTCATCATCGGTATGATAAAAAACTTAGTCTTGATTATCCATTTTTTGATTTAATCATCAATGAGCGTTGAGCAGCAGACAGGATTCAAATTCAGTGAACATCTGACACATAATATGGCATCGAGAGTTGATTATTGTCTTTTCATGTTAATAAATGTCTAATTAATTATTTATATAACATTTCAGGCCTAAAAAAAGACCTGCAATAGGCAGATTTAACTCTTGCATAATGTATATTCTTTAAATGGCATTTAGTAATTGGAACATAATCAAATAACACACTATTTATGGATAACAATTACTGTGGTTTATTTCACTGCGACGTTTCAACAAGATTTCACAAGTCGTTATCAAGCATAATTTCACTGCGACGTTTCAACAAGATTTCACAAGTCGTTATCAAGCATAAAATGCTTGATAACGACTTGTGAAATCTTGTTGAAACGTCGCAGTGAAATTATGCTTGATAACGACTTGTGAAATCTTGTTGAAACGTCGCAGTGAAATAAACCACAGTAATTGTTATCCATAAATAGTGTGTTATTTGACTTGCATAATGAATGTTTAATAACAATATTACACTTTAAAGAAGTTAACCCTCTTTGATCTGGACCTGGTTTTTACGTTAATAAATTAAAGAAAAACTCACCCTGTTATACTAGAGATATAATCTTCTAATAAAGAACAGGATTTCTCTAAATAATTCATATTTATAGATATCTGTATTAACTGTAAAATATCAATACATTTATTAAATTTAAAATATCTAATATATGGTGATACAATAAATGATATCTGCTGTAAAATATCAAATATATGGTCTTATAATAAACGATATCTGTATTGACTGTAAAATATCAAATCTTACAATAAATATAGATCTGATTTAACTGTGAAATATTTGTGTACACGGGGCATTCGCTTGAGCGTAGGGGTCTTTATAGCAATTGGCGGAAACCGGAGGACCCAGAGAAAACCCACAAGGTTGGACAGGTGACTCTACTCCTGGTCACGTGCAAGCTGGGAATCGAAACCATGCTATCTGACTCAATGACAGACCTTATAATCTACAGGAAATGCATTGACCATTTGGCCACCCAACTCCCCACTGTCCTAAGCCAATATACTCCGCATGAGAAAGCGTGGGGGTGAGATATTTAACCCATTTAACCCTAGAGCCAATTAAAAGATAAGCTACCAACCCCTAAGCTCAATAAATCAGTTAATTGATCTGGCGCTTTTGTTCGCTAACAGTAATGATGGGTCGGCCAGTTGATTCGCTATCGCAAAATGACAGGTGCAAACTGGTTCGCACGCGTCAAAAATGGCTTAAAGACTTTAAAGACATGATGATTAAGACAATGTAAAATAACAAACCTGTAGGGGGGGGGGCTGGGGGGGAGGGGGGGAGGGAGGGGCAGATATTTAAAGACATGATGATCAAGACAACATAAAATAACAAACCTGTAAAAGGGGGGAGGGAGACATTTAAGGACATGATGATCAAGACAACATAAAATAACAAACCTGTAAATGGGCGGGAGGGAGACATTTAAGGACATGATGATCAAGACAACATAAAATAACAAACCTGTAAATGGGGGGGAGGGAGACATTTAAGGACATGATGATCAAGATATCATAAAATAACCAACCTGTAAAAGGCCGAAGTTTGGTCGTTTAATCAACTGTGACAAACATCCACCTAATGTTTTAGTTAATAAACTATTCGTAGATTTTCTAATCATATCATCTATCTCCGTATGACTGAAAAATACAAACACAATTTTGTTTTAAAGGGACCATCAGAAATAAAAGTCTGTATATGTATGAAATTTCCAGATGAAGAGTTACAGGTTTAAGATATTTGAAAACATATCACATATATTGAGTTAGTTGCTAGGCCCTAAGTTAGAAGATTTTAAGGGCTTTTAACACAAAATTAAGCAGTTTTATTCTACAAAATATAATCGAGATTGGCCCTTTTATAATTCGCTTGCATATAAGCATCTTCAATAGAAGGCTACGTACATCTTATCAAGGCCTTCGAGTAATAAACTGCATATTTCAGCACTAATTTCGATTGGGTATTCAACCAGCTTGAGAGCCTATCAGATTCCTTGATCATCGCGAATACCAGGTCTTGCGCTTTCCAGCTAAAATGTCTACCTGTCTAATTAATCGAGTAGCAAAGTTCAATGTCAAAGTTTCCGTGGAGGTCGCTATGTAACAACCTCTGATTGGACACTACTGTTCACGTGTCTGCAGATAACATAGCTATAAGTGCGGGAATTGTGAAGTAATCTAGCAACGTCAAGATGTTGTAAAACTTGCAGTCGTTGTTTCAGGAACATGGCATATAGGGGACTTTAGCAATGGGAAGAAAACAGAGCACCCAGACACCCACCAAGGGCCCCCCCCCCCCAGCAAAGGTTCGGCAGGAAAACCTAATTGTCTCTTGACTCAATGACAGACCTTATGATCAAAAGCTCACTTGACAACCCCAAAAAATAGAAGAACAAACTTTATCAATTATCAATGAAAGATGTATAAAAGCCAAATCAGAGTAAATGTGCCGAATTTAAGCCTGATGTTGTCTATAACAACAGGTGTCTTATTTTGTTATAATATAAATAAAGAGCCCCCCGGGAAGAACGATCTAAGTCACTTTTTTAACGAACCCCAGTTAATGGCGCCATCTGGTAGCAAATTGTATAAGCTTTCTGTGGAACAATCAATTTCAGGTAAAAACGATCGGAGTAACATCGAACCAAGGCCCTTCTGAAATTTGACCTTAATTTGGCTGAAAAGTGGAAATCAGTTGTTGTACTGGTAATTATGATTCGTATTAAACATCATTTTTAAGTTGTAATTAAACCCACTTGTTCTGTTTGCGTCAAGCATTTTCGTCCAAAAGTCTCTTTTGTCTTTTATGCGAAAAGACAAAAATGTGACTTAGATCGTTCTTCCCCTGGACTCTTCAAATATGTATTTACTACCTTAAATGTAAATCAGCGGAGAATTTTAAACAAGCATTGATATATTCCTTGACCTGATTATAAACACTGGGTACAAACTGGGAATATGGAAAACAACGTGGAAATGGTTCCTGAAATATAAAGTAATGTTGTATAGCTTATTTATTGTTTAACTAATGTGGGCACACATACAAGAAGACACTACTATATAGCACACTTACAAGACATTGTCACTATGTAGCACACTTACATGACATTGCTACTATGTAGCACACTTTCAAGAAATCGCCACTATGTAGCACACTTACAAGACATTGCTACTATGTAGCACACTTTCAAGAAATCACCAGTTATGTAGCACACTTGCAAAACACAATAATCCTTATCCATAAATAATAATTTAAGAGATAAGAGTGGCCACTGGTATTAAGACCCGGATATCCCAGATGTCAGTTAATATAACAGACAATTATCTCACTTCTGTCCACAAAAGAGGGACACATCTTGAACGACTATACGTTGTCCCTTGTAAGGCCCTTGGTCCTGCATCACTGCAAGGTGGAGTGCTGGATGGAAGGGACTGTTTATCAAGGTAACTGGGATGTTATTAAATCTACCTTTTGCAACTGTTTATCATAACCCACCTTTTGCAAATGTTTATCATAACCCATCTTTTGTAACTGTTTATCGTGATAAGATAACCCACCCTTTCTGTTTATCATAAGATAACCCACCCTTTGTAACTGTTTATCGTGATAAGATAACCCACCTTTTACAACTGTTTATTGTGATAAGATAACCCACCCTTTGTAACTGTTTATCTTGATAAGATAACCCACCTTTTGTAACTGTTTATCATGATAAGATAACCCACCTTTTGTAACTGTTTATCATGATAAGATAACCCACCTTTTGTAACTGTTTATCGTGATACGGTAACTGGGATGTTATTATATTAAACTCCTCTTCTGTAGAACAACAAATTGGCGTATAATTATCTTCTTGAAATATTTCATTAAAAACATCCACCCACTGTTCAGATAATATTTCGCTATATCTGTCCCTGGATTTGAGAAGAAAATATACAAGATTTAATATGGAGGATTAATAGAGAGAGAAATTGGTTTTAACGTCCAAACACTAACTAGGTAATTTCAATAATTCACTAGCACATCAACAGGTCTTCAGTTGTGGAAGGAAAAATGAAGGGCACTGATAAAACCCACATGGTTGGACAAATGACTCATTTCCTTGTGTGGGCCCGAAATCATGCAAATGCCTTATGATCGCACACAATTAAACCATCTGACCACCCAAACCCCTTTAGGATTAATGACGTCCTGTTTACATTTAACATAGCTACTGAAGAATATCTCGTGGGAATTTTGTTTGCCTGGACCCATAACATTTTATGAAGTGCAAATTGTTAGAACTTACCTCATTTCTAATAATAATTCTAATAACCTTCCAACACTGAAACCATAACCCTAAAACATATATAGCAATAGAAAACATTGGTGATGACTTCATGAAAGAGAAATGGGGTTTACACAAACTAGGTCATTTCAGGACTAACATGTGGCTTACATTTTTTTAAAAAAATAATTCACTTGTATGTAGCGGTCTTTAGCAGTGGGAGAAAAGCTGGAGGGCCTAGAGAAAACCCATGAAGGAAATGCGACCATACTTCTTGTCACGTAAAAGTTTAGGATCAAAACCATGCAACTTGTCTCAATGACAAACCTTATGCTCTCAGGCTTACACCCTAGACAACCCAGCTCTCGTAGAAAAAATTGGTGATGGCATATTATAAAAAAAGACTTCATTAACCTTTTAGCACTGTTGTTCCTTAGACTTCCTAAGAAATACTGGATGATAATTTTAGTCTGGAGTGTTCTCTAGACTGAAGAATGGATGGATTAAACATAATCTTTAATTATAAGTGGGGGTGTAGCCATTTTAGAGAGAGAGAGAGAGAAATGGGGTTTAACATCCACTCGACACAAACTAGGTCATTTCGGGACTAACACATGGTTCGATTTTATTTCAATAATTTGCTTTCGCTTAGGAGTCTTTAGCAGTGCGAGGAAACTGGAGTAGCCATTTTAAATCAAAGTAAAAATTCAATGAAATAAAAAGAATGTTACCTTTAACGTGTGACAGAATAGAACTATTAATTTCTTTATTTCTAACATTAAATCGGATCGCTTACAGGATTGCTGAAAAAAATAAATACACATGGTTTAAAACGTAAACCTACACCAGGGCCTTGCTGACGCCAAGACACAACATCTGTTTTATTATTAATCGTCCCCCCCCCCCCCCCATGTATTATACTCGGACCACGTTATAAGGCATGTTTCAGTAAAAGGCAGTATGTACAGGACCTATCCAATGTCTGAGTTGCTATGGCTACCGTAATAAACAACAATAACGTAGCAACCATTACAACTTGAGTATCGTGTAGTTGTGCTGTTCTTAATTAATTACTGAACACCTCTAGTAAAAGTAAACGGTTGTAAACCCAACACTCATTATCTAATATAGATGAACCATTTTAAACTAAAAAATATTTTTTGAGGATTCTCAACGAATCTGAATAATTTGCCAACTATGGTTTGGAAGATTTGCAATGAATTTGAATAATTTGCAGAGTATGTTTTTGATGATTCTCAATGAATTTGAATAATTTGCCAAATATGGTTTAAAACTAAATATTAAATACAGAAACTCCTGCTTAACAGCGCAACTAAACGATACCCAAATTGTGATCACTGCCCCCATTGTCCTCCATCTCAAATTGAAACTTGCCTTACAGTGAACCTCAAGTATGCTCAATAACTCAGAAGAACTGAATTAATGAATATATTATTTCTTATAACAAGTGACTCAAAACACTGTTAAAAATTAAATGCATGATTATTTTGGTTTTGTAACAAAGATAAAGAGATACTACATGCTATCACTCTGACAGAAGTTGTATTTATATTAATTTAGTATCAACAAATCAGAAAATATTATCAGTTGTAGAAATAAATCAGCTGTTTACATTTAAAATATTCTAAAATAGAAAACAATTAATTATAAATTGTTGAATAAAAATGAATAAACTTTGTTTAATTGAGGGACTGTCGCAAAATTTCAACATATCCATCCAAACAGATTACCCGCGGATAGATCTAGATACCACCCCCACCCCCCACCCACCTACGCCCATGGATTAAGAAAAGATAGATTTTGAAGTGAGGTCAGGTGAGAGAGAGAGAGAGAGAGAGAGAGAGGGAGGGTTTAACTGCTACTCGACACAAACGAGATCATTTCGGGACAAACAACATATGGTTCAACTTTATTTCAATAATTTCCTTGCGCGTAGGGTTTTTTAGCAGTGCGAGGAAACTGGAGGACCTGGATAACACCCACGAAATTGGACAGGTGACCCTACACCACTTGACTCAATGAGACAGGTCTTGTGATTTTACGTGCATGTGTTAAATCACTTGACCGCCCCCCCCCCCTTCAAAGGGTTGTATCGTGGTATCGTTCCACGGGTTGTTCGTTCGGAAGCAAGCGTTGAAATTTTGCGACTGCCCCTAAACATGGCTGTATTTAGTATGAACACATTTTACCTATTCTGATATCAGCATTTGCTGATCTTTGCGAACAGGGCAAGGACAGATTCCTCCCCTTAAAAAATTCAAATGAGGGATTCTGTGATGATCTGTGGAATACTGACCAATCACAGTTTGATGATCTGTGGAATACTGACCAATCACAGTCAATGATCTGTAAGTATTGGCCAATCACAGTGGGATGATCTGTGGAATGCTGACCAATCACAGTTCGATGATCTGTTGAACATTGGCCAATCATAATGGGCAGAGTAATGTACGGTCCTTGTACAGTACAGGAATGGGATAGAATGTGTAGTCATACATACAATGTTCATGATATAAATTTTTTTTTTTTTCATTAATTAAATATAAATTAACATGTTTTGTTTAATTGTTAATTACATGCATTCATGCAATTAGATGTATAATTATTATTTTAGTATTAACAGATTGTTAATTTAAATCATGCATATTCTTAATTAGTTATTCTCTTACAGTGAAGGCATCAAAAATATATAAAATGAAGGATTGTAAGTCTGTGATAAGAAATAAAATAATTTCTGCTCCGACTGACCGAATGAAGACAGGCATATGCTATGCAGTATGCAGTGTGCTATGTGTGAAATTTTGCTCTTAACCTAGGCACTAGGGCCTACTCTTTTTCAAATTCTAACTGGTTTTTTTTTACAAACTTGGTTTTTTTTTTTGCCCCCATACGCATGACTAGACACTATTTGTCAGGCCCTCCGTCCAGAACCACAGAGGGAAACCACGCCAGAAAATCCTCAGGGCCTTTCTCGGCCAACACCAGGAGTGAACAAGTGACCGACAGCATTCACTAAATGAGCCACCATGGCTCCAATCTGTGATAGGATAAACTAACAAAACAAACAGCTAATGTGGTCTGACTCCGTATCTTATGTGTATATTTCTATTTACATGCTGTGATGTTGTTACCTCCCCTGAGAGGATATCCACATGTGTATGCTTACATTGTAGATCTATGCCAGGACAAACTAACAGAACAACACCCGGATATGGTCTGACTCCGAGTCTACTACGCTGTAATGTTAACTCCCCTGAAAGGTTATCTATAAGCTTCACAGTATGGAAAGGAGCTTATTGTCTTGTCAACACAGTTCAAAGTAAAATCTTTCCTTCAAATTCAAATGAGAATTGTGTGTTTGCCGTCAGTTATACAAATTATTATCAGTTTATTTTCTTGTACGTTTTTAACTAAATTGAAGTTTCGCTTCAAAACATTGAGAAACTGTAACAATTTGTTGTTTCTAGCATTGAATAAATTGAAAGTGATACAAACAATTGTTCTTTGTTGTTGTCACAAGGGGCACATGTGATTTTGTTGTCATGGACAAATGCAATGCCGTGGCCATGAGGGCGCACACAACATGGCACATACAAGATGTTGTTGTCACGGGGCAATATATACATGTACGATGTACTACATATTAAACTATTGAAATAGGAGAGGAGGAGAAATGGGGTTTAACGTCCACTCGACACAAACTAGGTCATTTCGGGACTAACATATGGTTTAATTTCATTTACATAATTTGCTTGCGCGTAGGGGTCTTTAGCAGTGGGAGGAAACCGGAGGACCCAGAGAAAACCCACGAGGTTTGACAGGCGACCCTACTCCTTGCCACATACAACTGGGGATTCGAAACCACGCCAGTCGACTCAATGACAGACTTTATGATACAGCGCGCATACGCTAACCATTCAGCTATCCAACCCCCCCTATTGAAATAGGATTAAACAGAAGTTATATTTGAATTAATAATAGTAATATTAGAACAACATTTATAAAAGATAGATATATGTTTATATGACTGGTGTAGTGCATCTCTAAGGAGCACGACCTGTGAGGATTAGACACTGTAAATTGTATATAAATACTTTATATGGAAATACCTGAGTTGTAGAATTAAGCGTGGCTAGGACAAATTTGGCCTGGATGGAAAAAATATGTGATGAGGATAAATGGATAATGGGAGAGCAATATTATATGCTGGGAGATGAGGTTAATGTTTCATAAAATGCATTAACATTTGTTTTTTTTTTTTAACTTATTGGATGTTTAAAGGGACTATCCCGATTTGAACAATAACTCAAAAATACAAGTCCGAGTACGGAAGAAATTTAAGTGCCAAAATATAGAGGAATGGTGTATTTATCTTGTCTCAAAATTTCAGCTCAAAATATTGAGTTGTTTGGATATGAACGTCAAAACCGCTTATTCAGACAAATAACCCTTTTAAGACTTCGGGTCAATTTTTTCGTTGGGTTACCCAATAATCGATTCCCAGTCCTTTCGAGGTCTATACAGTGAATGACCCATCTGCTGTACTGGATAACTAAAGGTAAATTTCACCTACACATTATTTTTATAAAATAAAAGTCTGTTTTTTTCCAAACACCACATAATACAGCTTGGGACAAGGGTCTCCATTTCCAGATGAAGACTGACGAGTTTAAGTTGTTTGAAAATGTATCTAAGATAGAGGATTTTAAGGGATTTTATCACAAAATTAAGCAGCTTTATTCTCCAAAATATTATCGGGATTGGCCCTATAAACATAATCAAGAGTTTATAATCATATCTTTACAACTTTCTCTGATTCAGGTATAGAAATAATTATTCTAAGTTGTATTCTGATGATATTAATGAACTTACACCTGACATTTTGAACATTGTGCCTGACATATAAGGCTTTTTTATCGACTTGCCAAATCGATTTGAATTTAGTGGAGATGTCATGTGACAGTATAGTCGATTTCAAAGTACTTTGGTAAGTTCGTTAAATATGTCGATTAACTGTAAACAATTCTTGTGGTTGGACAAAGTTGAAAAAAAACCCCAAACAAAACACGCGAACACCCAATCAAATCGTCAAATCACATCTTGGAAGTGATTTAGAGATTTGAGGTAATCGCTTCAGAAATCGGTGTTGATAAATCCTTTGATTAGGATTAATTTGAATTAGAAGAATGTTAAAGATGAAAACTGATCGAATGCAAATCACTTTGGCTAATAAGTCTTCAATAAAATCGCCTTAAAAACACTGATGAAAACAAAATCTAAGCCAGACAAAATAGCAGACACAAGAGTGTATGTATATGTACTGGATATTTTGACATGACAAGTACCAGAGGATTTGTGACTGACATAGCCCAAAAGCCTTAATTTGTGTCGGACAATATTTTTGACAGGTGCCTTATATTCAGGCTTGCTATAGCAAAAATAATGTGGTCTGAATCCATGTCTATTACATACTGTGATGTTGTTACCTCCCCTGAGAGGTTAATTCCCCATGTGCAATTTTAAACAGGGTCAAAGTTAAATGCCATCTTGGGAGTTGTTCTAGATATCTTGTAAATCGGTAAATTTAATGAACAATGACTCTTTTTTTTGGGGGGGGGGGGGGGCAGAACGTGAAATAATTGACACCTTGTACTAAAAACCTCAGAATACATGGGGCTGCCTTTTTGTAAATACTTTGTTTTTGATTCATTTTGGACAAAAAGTAAATCAAAGATTCTGAGATTTACCGAAATATGATTAGAAATCAAAACGTATTGTAACAAAATCAATAAAAATTAAAACAGAAATAATAAAAATATTTAAACGATTTGAACTAACTCGGAACTTAACTTTCATATATACCTACAAACATGGATTGCATTGTCCACACAAACTTACAAAAAAAATACAATATGGTTTAAATATAGGGGAATATTTTAACTTATTTTATAATTTCTTTGAGTAGTATTTAGCAATTGATATACGAATAAAGACAATTGTATAATATTGAATACAATAACTACTTTAATTAAAGCGACGTTTCATTGAGGCTGAGAGCATAACGCAACAAAAACATTGCTCTAATTAAAACAGTAATCGTGTTCCTAATTATAATAACATGTTTATCATTTTATAACTTGTATGTACCTCTTAAAACAAGTTTTCAATTAGAAAATGAAACAATGAATTGGAATAAAAAACACGGCCACAATACTGACGAGACAAAAATTAACATATAACACTGTAATCTGGGTATTGTTTTATCTTGTGTATTTAGCATTAATTTCTTTAACATTCATTCAATATTAAATCTCCGCTTGAAAATTCGTAAAAAGCACCAAAAATCATCTAATTTGTACTTTTGTTCAGTTTAAAACTGACCATTCAATTTTGATAATGAATGTCCAGTTTACAAATGTTTAATTTCTCGATCACTGTTCACACAAAGATTTGATATTGAACGAATGTGAAAGAAATTAATGCTACATACGCAAGATTAAACGATAACCTAGTTACAGTGTAATATAAGATACAGGAACATTTGATTTGAAAGCTGAAACAATGAAGGAACAAATTCATAAAAAGCTGAAAGTAACACGCAAACATGAGTTGACATGAATATCACAAAAGTTTAGATGAAGGCATTTTGGAAAGAGTTTTTCATACATGTAGCATTTGTGCATTTTTTTGGCAGAAGTCGTTCAAAATTTCTGATCATTCTACGACAAAACAGAGAAGTGTGGTGTTTTATCGTAAATAACAGTGAAATCTCTATAAATCGACACTCGTTGAATTATGAAGATGTTTTGGTGAAGATGGAGAGAAAGAGAAATGCGGTTTAAAGTCCACTTGACACAAACCAAGTCATTTCGGGACTAACATATGGTTCCATTTTATTTCAATAATTCGCTTCCGCATAGGGGTCTTTAGCAGTGGGAGGAAACCGGAGGACCTGGAGAAAACCTAAGAGGCTGGACAGACGACCCTACTCCTCGTTACATACAACCGGGGAATCGAAACCATGCTAACCATTCGGCCATCCAACCCCCCCCCTCCCAAAAAAAAAACATAAAAAAGGATCGTGACACATCAATGCAGCCTCTTGTGATTCAATACGCAAATTGGGAGAAGGTGAATCACGATACATCGATTCAATGATACATCATGCCAGCACTAGAACTTACGATCTAAAGCGCTGTGCCACACAACCCCAAATTGTCAGTCTAGTTAGACTTCACTGTATTTACAATAATTCAAACATATTTCTAATGAAATGTAGCGTCCAGAAATTTTGAACGAATGTCAAGTGAGTGGAAAGGAGAGACAAACAATGGGTTTGACATGATTTAAAAAAAAAAAACGATTCTAGAAATCTTACTGGCTCGTCAAACTGAAAAATAAAGTTCCGTGAAAAGTGAAAAGAGATTCTAAACACAACAATTATACCATTAGGGTGCTTTGGGTTTACATGTATGAAAAATGATAAAAACAATATAGACTGAATAGTCTCGAATGTCAAGTACCATTGCCACTATAATAAACAAAGTCTTGATGAAGTCTTGATTGTCACATACCATTGCCACCATAATAAACAAAGTCTTGATTTTCAGTCTTTCTATCAAACGTCTTCTTGAGTGGTGGACATGGTAACGTTAAAAGATATGGCAAACATTTTCTAATCAACTCAATATCTAAGCCATCCGATAGCCTAGAGAGTTGATTATGGGGTTGTCTTTCTATCGACCGTCTTCTTGAGTGGTGTCCATAATAAGGTTTAAAGATATGGCAAACATTTTCTAATCAACTCAATATCTAAGCCATCCAATGGTCTAGAGAGTTGATTATGGGGTTGTCATGTGAATTTACATGTATATAACATTTGAAGCCCGAAAAATGACCTGTAATAGGCAGATTTGGCTCTTAAATATGCATCTTTAACATTGGTGTGGCTAGTAAGTTATCTTCCCTTGGTTCCTATTTTCTATGGGGATGCTCGATTCACAGTCCAGAACGTCCCGAAATGACAGAATTGCAATCGAGTGACTCGGAATTCAGTCCTGTCACAGTTGTTTCAGTCCCGACTCCGGAGGTGGTGTGAGTAGAATCGTAACGTAATTAAACACAACAAATATGTTTCGACTGCATGGTTGGTTGAGATATTTACTTATCCAGTCGATGCATGTGTTGTAGCCCGAAATACCTGTTTTCACTCGATTGCAACTATTTTTGGGATTGAGAGAATTCAATTCCGGAACGTTCAATCAAGTACCCCCAATGTTGATTTATTAGAGGTAAAATTAACAGAGAAAGAGGCCAGCGTGTAACAGCATGGAGGCCAGTGGTCTTTAAATATTTGATTCAATTGAAATGACAAATTTCTGGACCATTTTACAGCCCTTAGAATGTAAAAAGCATAAATTGTGAAATACTTACTGCACTCGATCGAAGTGTAGCTACCATTTTTTCTACTGCCTTTTCCCATAATTCATCTATGTAGGCTCGATTAACCAGTCCCTGACTAGTGTGGTAGATATGATCTTCAACAACAAAAAAACTGTAAGAAAAAGATGAATTGTGCTGCAATTTAATGGATACTTCTCAGACTCTGTGACAAGGTATTTCACGGTATTTAAATAACTTAAAGGAGCTAAATCGCTAATGTGAACTGCAATCTTAAGCGTCTGGTTTTGTCCAGTCTACACCAATGGTATTTATTGCACAAGCTCTCCAGATAAGAATATAGCGTCACCATTTGACATGACTTGTGGAATATGTCTAGCCCTGTTCTTTGAGTCCCTTGTTCCAAATGGCGGTGAAACGCATTATGGTACACGATTCGTGTACCAATGGTAAAATGTTTATTTTGTCTTGAATATTGGATATCAGAAGCCCATCTTTTCCCTGTACTGTAAGATCACAAGACCAATGTTGATTTGAATTGACAATTAATTCGTGTTTTCAATGTCGAAGATTTTTGATGATATTGAGTTAGAGACTTAGCTACTTTAATGTCCACTTGACACAAACTACGTCATTTTTTGACTAACATATGGTACAATTTTATTTCTATCATTCACTTGTGTTTATGGGTCTTAAAATAAGCAGTGGAAGAAAACTGGAGGACTTGGGAGAAAATTTTGATGACAGAAAGGAGTGATGATGTTGATGCACAACTATCCATATCCTTGACATATAAATTATTAATTTTATTTTATTGATCGACATAAATATTTACCCAAGAGGAGCATCAAGGTTGACAGATCAACTAACAAACACTTAAAATGCAGAGATTAAACAAATATTGTGGCTCTTGGGTTACAGGTGTGTGTCTCCCAGCAAATAAATTCAAACTTTTAAAATTTAATATGTACACGCAATCTATTGATGTAAAACACATCGACCTAGAATGGTCTAACATATTGATATGACCTTGTTTATTGGTATGACCTTGTTGTGTAACTTCAGACAGTTAATCCTTTTACTAACCTAAATCACTGACTGTATTTTATAAATTCTCATACATCAAATGTAAATGGGGTTTCATACTGTTCTCGTTTAAAGACAAGGCCAAAATAAGATAAATACATGCCTTTACGATTACCCGACGGCGACCAACCTAATTTTTTAAAGCTAAAACTGTCGACCCTAAACTTTTTTCTCTCATTTCCCAGACCCTGTAACTCACGTCTTGGAATGCTTTTCTAGACATACTCCAACATTGAAATTTCTGTATTATTTTCAAGGACCTTATTCAGTATTTAAGGGCGTTGAGCAGTCTAAAATGCAGATTTTAAAGCTAGCACTGTAATTTTCTTGATAAGATATGACAATTTTTGTTATTTTGGGTGGTAAACTACATATTAATAACCAAAAAAAAATACCAATTTTATTTACCAATTATGTTCCAAACTTGGCCTAAAAGTATAATAAAGGGTGCCAATGACAATAAAAGTCAAATTTTCTCAGTTATGCCTGCATGGATTATCTTTATATTTGGCATGAACAATACTAATAGCAAGTCCAAAAAAGCCACTGGTGAATTTTTGACTATAGGCTATGGTTTGTCTTGTATCCATGGAAACGAAAAAAAACCCAAAAAACAATAAGTTTTCTTGGAAATTCTATTAGTAGAGTATTTAAGCTAAAAATGGTGGGAAATAGCTAATACAAACACTGTAATCTGGGTGTCATTTAATTTTGTGTATCTAGCACTAATTTCTTTCACATTCGTTTAAAGTAGCTAAGTCTCTAACTCAATATCATCCAAAATCTTCGACATTGAAAACACGATTTATTTGTTGGTTTAAATCAACATTGATGTTGTGATTTTACCGGGAAAAGATGACCTTCTGATATCCAATATTTAAGACAAAATAAACATTTTACAATTGGTACACGATTCGTGTACCATAATGCGTTTCAGCGCTATTTGTAATAAGGGACTCGAAAAACGAAATGAAATGAAATGGAGTTTAACGTCATACTGTTCTGCTCCTATACTGGGCTAATGAAGACGGGCATACGCCTGGGCAGCGGCACTATTGCCTACTCTTATATCGAATTCCAACTGCCAAGGGATCTTTTACGTGCATTCCAATGTTTACACGGGACCTCGGTTTTTCGCCTCATCTGAATGACTAGACAGCTGTCCTTGTCAGGCCCTCCGTCCTGCATCACTGACAAGGGGAAACCATGTCGGAAAATCGGGATGAACTTTCTCTGCCAATGCAGGGATCAAACACCCGACCTCTAGGCTAGCGAGCCAGCGCCTTACCCACCTAGCCACTGTGGTTCCCTCGAAAAACGAGGCTAGGCATATTCCACAAGTCATGTCAAACGGTGACGCTATATTCTTATCTGGAGAGCAAGCCCAATAAATAATATTGGCATAGACTGGAATAACCAGACGCTAGAGATTGAAATTTGATTGAGAATACTGGCGTATTTCGCCGAACCTAACTGATTAAAAATTACAGTAAAAACAGAAACGTTTGAATGTAAATCAATTTATATACATTCATATTACATTATTGTATGCGTTGCGACCCATTTGTGTCAATTTCTAGGTCCCAAATATTAGCGACTTAGCTCCTTTAATATCAAATCTTTGTTTAAAAATTTGTAAAAATGATTCAAAATCACCCCATATCATCTCATTTGTACTTGTGTCCAGTTTCAAGCTGACTGATTAATTTTGCTAATGAGTGTCCAATTTACAAGCATTTAATTTCCTCATCACTGTTCAAAAATGAATCACTATACATCAATAATCGAGAAATTAAACGCTTGTAAATTAGACACTCATTATCAAAATTGAATGGTCAGCTTTGAATTGGAGACAAGTACAAATTAGATGATGTTTAGTGATTTTAAACGATTTTTATGAATTTTTAAACAAAGATTTGATATTAAATGAATGCGAAAGAAATTAGTGCTAGACACACAAAATTAATTTCTGTTGACAAAATTCAACACAGAAATTTAGGCATTATTTTCAAGAACTTTACTCAGTAATTAAAGATACATTATGTAAGATTTAGATAAAGAGCTAGCCATTCTTGCTATAACAGTTCGAAAATAGATAATGTAAAATGAATAATTTGAAAATTTCATTCAAATTACTCTACTGCGAGCGAAGATATTAGCCTTTGAAAGTTTGACAGACGTGTGCAATAATTTCAAACACTGTACTGGTTGTTCAAAGCTAAGTCTCACTCCTCCATTTTCAGCTTATGGCTGAACTGTTCTAATCTATTTAATATCGGAGAAATCCGATGCCATCGAAGAGTTGATTATAGTCTGGGTAAGTTAATTAATGTCTAATTAATAATTTAGATAACATTTCAGGCCTAAAGAAAGACCTGAAATAGGCAGATTTAGCTCTTGCATAATGTATGTTTAAGCTAGAAATGCTAGGAAATAGATCATAAAAACTACCCATGAAAACCATAAAATATTTAAACAAATAAAAATAATGTTTATTACGATTAGTGAATGAATGAAATGGGGTTTATCATCCTACTACATATCATTTAAGGGGGAAAGAAAATGGGTTTATTTAGGTCATTTTGGGACTAACATACGGTTTAATTTATTTCAATAATTTGATTGGGTGTAGATGTCTTTAGTAGGGGGAGGAAACCTATGAGGTCGTAAACCTACTCCTTACCTACAAGCATGGAATCGAAACATCGCCACTTGATTCACTGACAGACCTTATGATCTAAAGCCCACATATTAGACAATTCGGAGAGTTCACACATAGCTATAAAAATATAGAAATAAATAAAAAAATCTTACCCTACAATATCATGGAAGTATTTTCTATAGGCATCAATACTTTCATGCTGGAAATAAAAAATTACCGTTAAAATATCATTAAATAAAATTCAAAGGATGGTTTCTCTGAGCAGCTAGTTCGTGACACCATCAGTCTTATAAAATGAAATGAAATGGGGTTTAAAACAAAACCTCCATTCAGAAAGTTTTGGCTCAGGCAGCGGCGCTATGGCCAACTTTTATTTCAAATTCCAACTGTCAAGGATTCTTTTATGTGCACTCAGATTTTTGTAACATGCCAAACTTTCTTAGTCAAAAATCTGAAACGAACCCGAGAACACTTACTTAATTAGCTAACCAGCGACTTACTCCCTCAACCTGCAGAAACTCCTTCATCAATATTGTAGTGAAGAAATGAAATGAAATGAAATGGGGTTTAACGTCCTACTGTTTTGCTCCGACTGGGCTAATGAAGACGGGCATACACCATACAGTGTGCTATGAGGGAAATTTTGCCCGGGCAGCTCAACTATGGCCTACTCTTATATTGAATTCCAACTGCCAAGGGACCTTTTATGTGCATGCAAATAAGTACACGGGACCCTAGTTTTTCGCACCATCCGAACGACTAGACAGCTGTCCTTGTTAGACCTTCCATCCTGCACCACTGACAAGGGGAAACCACGTCGGAAAATCCCGATGAACTTTCTCGGCCAATGCAGGGATCGAACACGCGACCTCCACTTAGCCACGTGGTTCCCCACTTGTAGAGAAGAATTTTTGTAAAATAATACATACCATATTTGGTGGGGGATTTAAAGACAATCTGGCTTGTTTCCAACGCTGTGTTCGATAATAATTTTCAAATTTTTCTCGATCACCCTAAAAAGATATATTTAAACAAAATGAATTTTTTTTTTTTATATTTGAAACCTAGTAAGTTATTGACACATGATTTGATCTATCAATGTTGAAATGGTTACCGGAGTTGCATGCACACGCAAAACTCATGCAAGATCTGCATTTACCAAAATAAACATCTATTCACGCATGAAAATCAAATTTGTCGGGCCTTGCTATGTTAGTGCATGACAAGGAGTAGGGCCGTCTGCCTTCCCTGGTCCTAAAGACCCATTTGTTACATATGTTAGTCTCGAAACGAGCATGTACATTGCTCTTCTTAACAGTAAATTGTCACTTTTAAAAAAAATACCACTCCCGTGAGGCTACACAGTGTTTGGTTTGGTTTTTGCCTTTAGTCGGACATGGGAGGAATTGAAAAAACACAGGCCACAATTAATTAATCTGCTCTGTCGTCTCTAAAAATTAGGCTCTCAATTTCCACTATGATTTTAGTGAGGCTACATGCATGTACATACCAGAACTGAGTAGATATGTAGACACCGATAAACAGGAGAAAAATCTATCAGATCTTGGGCACTTAATTCCTGTAAAAAAAACATAAAAAAACATATTTATGTCTCATTTTATATCAACATTTCATTCTGATTATTTGTATAAACAAAAAAACATCCTAAAAAGTTGTCTCACACTTTTCATTTATCCTAATCTTTAATGAAAACCATTAACCGTATGGGGTTTAATGTCCTAGTTTTCTTAATGTCCTACTTTAAACTGGACAAAAGTACAAATTAGATGATTTTGGATGATTTTTTACGATACAAAGTTTTGAAAAAAGGTTTGATATTGAATGAATGTGAAAGAAATTAATGTTAGATACACAAGATTAAATGATACCGAGTTACAGTGTAAATTCATATAAATAATTAATGAAATGAAATGAAATGGTGTTTAACGTCCTACTGTTCTGCTCCTATACTGGGCTAATGAAGACGGGCATACGCCATACAGTGTGCTATGAGGGAAATTTTGCCCGGGCAGCGGCACTATCGCCTACTCTTATATCCAATTCCAACAGCCAGGGGTTCTTTTACGTGCATTCCAATATATTAACGGGACCTCGGTTTTTTTTCTCATCCGAAGGACTAGACAGCTTTCCTTGTCAGGAAATAATTAATGACTTGGAGTGCAATAGAAGTGACTTGATGAAAGAAGAAATGGTGGCATGTCAGCTCCAACCGAGCTATATTATGCCAAACATATGGTAATATAAAATTTTACCTCTTCATCGCCGGAATCATCTCGAACAGCTTCAGGCATATGATCTATTTCACCAGTAAATGGATTGGGTGGAGGTGGGGCACGTTTTTTCTTTATCTTTTTCTTGGCTATAGTTGGATCCATGTTATTCTGTTCAGCAGCCTAAAACAATTAACATTATCATGTAACAGAAAATGAAATGGTGTTTAACATTCTACTGTTCTGCTCCGACTGGGCTAATGACGACGGGCATACGTCATACAGAGTGTTATGAGTGAAATTTTACCCAGATAGCAGTGCTACAGCTAACTTAATGGTATACGGGGGCTAAATTTATTTGTTAAGACCAGCTGAAGTTTCGCTGAGATGTAAATGAGGTTAGGGCACTTGATTGTTGGCAAGACTGTAGGTCAGGGTTAGGGTAAGCATTAGGACTTGGTCCAGGGTTAGGGTTGGAATTAGCTCTAGCGCTGTTTACATCTTGTGACCTTTGACCAAACTTAAAGTTAGGCTTATCAAATAGATCTAACCATACTTGAGGCCTCCTTTTTTTTTTTAGTCATCCATTCTGGCCCGGACTTTTGTCCTACACCAGGTTGGAAATCAGGTTGGAAAATCCTCAGCAGGAACTTTCTAGACAAACACGGTGATTGAGTCGAAAACCTACTGGTTAGTGAGTCTGCGCCATATCCATCACCATAGGACATTCTAATTGAGTCCAGTGCCCCTAATCACTCAAATGTCGTGGCTCCCAGGAAGTGTATGTCTGCCATTCCATTCCAACTTGACAAAAAATTTACTTACATGTTTCATGGCAACCTCTCCTATTTTTGCCGAATTTTTTCGAATACTTTCTAAGAAATCTTTTAATTCTGACATCGAGGCCTCTTTGATTCGTTCCCGTAATTTCGGAATGGCGTCTGACATTGTTTGTGAAAACCAGTGACTCATAACTCGCGGTAGGTAGGTGTGTTCAAGCTGTTCTAATGTCTTTAAGGCTGGATAATATCTGAAACAAAAAAACAAAATAAATGAAATTGGGTTCAATGTCCTACTCTGACTGGTCTAATGAACACAAGCATATGCTATACCGTGTGCTACTATATGAGGGAAATTATGCCCGGACATTGGCGCTACTCTTATATTGAATTCCAATTGCCAAGGGTTCTCCTACGTGCACACCAATGTGTACACGGGGGACCTCTGTTTTTCGTATCATCCAAACGACTGTACTTTGTCCCTTGCCAGGCCCTCTGTCCTACACCAGAAACAAGGGGGAACCAAGCCAGTAAATCCTGATGAACTTTCTCAGCCAATGCATGGGATCGAACATGGGACATTCAGGTTAGCAAGCTAAAGTTTTATTCACTGAGCCAACATGGCTCCCATAACAGAAAAACCAATTTTTAGGGGGATGCAAGATTTTGGCTGCTATTTTAAAGATGCACGAAAACAAGTTAGTTATTTTATATAAAATCTGGTATATATGTAAAGCACTAGAAAATTACTGGATTCCCTGAGCAACACCCATGGGGCCGATAACCACAGAACAAAAGGGCATTATTAACTGGCAACCTGGCGACTTGTGTACCGCTCGAATGACTTAGGGAGCATTTGGTACGTGTTGATTGAGGGATTTAAGAGGGATCTGAAGCAAACTTTTGATAGATAAATAATACTAACCTTTTTGTTTTCATTTGTTCTTTTAATTTTCCATACATTTCTAAAACTGTAAAATATATAAATTAATCATAAAACATATTAATACCATACTAGTTTTACTAGTTTTACTATTAATACCATGCAATGTTTACTAGTTTTACTATTTATATCATACAATGTTTACTAGTTTTACTTTTAATATCATACAATGTTTACTAGTTTTTACTATTAATATCATACAATGTTTACTAGTTTTTACTATTAATATCATACAATGTTTACTAGTTCTATCACTCATTTCATAACAGGTCTTTTGATCCGAAACTTTATGAAGATGAATAAACCACCTCATATTTCTACCTAAAGCTTTATTTTTGCACAGTGGCGATTTTAAAATATCCTTTTATTTCCACTCTCTCAGTCAGCATCATCCTTTGATTCACCAGCTACAAAGACTTATTGGCCTGTTCCAGCCCCTGCTGCTCTTTGAAGGGAGTGTTACCGATGATCCCTTGTTTCCTAGTTTTACATTTATATCAATCAGTTCTAGTTTACCGAATAAGAAGACTCAATAATCAAAATCACGCCCCCTTGTAAGTCATTTTTTTTTCCAGGGAAGTATAAAAATCAATAAATCCAAGTAACTTCTAAAAAGTAAGAGAGAGAGAGAGAGAGAGAGAAAGAGAGAGAGAGAGGTTGTTTTGGAACTAACATATGGGTGGTATTTGGGTAAATTGTCCTGTCGCAGGTCTCGCAGTGGGAGGAAACCTGTGAATCTGGAGAATAGCTATGATGTTGAGATGGAGTTTAACACCCACAGGTTTGTCATGTGAATAAATGTTTAAATAAGAATTTTTAGAACATTTGAAGCGAAAAGAAAGACTTGCAATAGGTAGATTTAGCTCTCACATGTACATAATAATATTTAATTTGAAAGGATGGAATAACAATTACCTGGCAGACATAATGAAAGGTTTTCTATGGCAGACGTTATATTTTTTTGAACCAGACGACATTTGACAAGTTTTTCACCTTTTGCTAACAATGGTTGACACGATTTCTGTAATTCTTTATCAACATTTCCTATATCATCCTGAAATTATATAATACATAATATACTGCAGTAATAGTTAAAATTATATTAATACATAATATACTACAGTAATTAATAGTTGAAATTATATACTGCAGTAAAATAGTTGGAATTATATAATACATAATATACTGCAGTAATACATGTAGTTGAAATTATTTAATACATAATAAACTGCAGTATTAGAAATTATATAATACATAATATACTGCAGTAATAGTTGAAATTATATAATACATAACATACTGCAGTAATAGTTGAAATTATATAATACATTATATACTGCAGTAATAGTTGAAATTATATAATATATAATAAACTACAGTATTAGAAATTATATAATACATAATATACTGCAGTGATAGTTGAAATTATATAATACATAATAAACTGCAATATTAGAAATTATATAATACATAATATACTGCAGTAATAGTTGAAATTGTATAATACATAACATACTGCAGTAATAGTTGATATTATATAAATACATAATATATTGCAGTAATAGTAGAAATTGTATAATAAACAATATACTGCAGTAACATATCGTGATATAAAACAGTTTTGTTCCTTCGACATCATTGGCAAGTATAAAAATATCAATTATTCATTTATCCTGTTGTTTTATTGGTAGATATTGACCTGATTATGAATCATGATACGAATCATATCATAGCAACTGAATCGCAATACTCATTGCATCGTGACTGCAGTAGCCATACCCAGTAGTAGTATATAGACAAACCTTTAATTTGGCAGCATCCCCGCTGACTTGTTGTAATTCTCTGATGGAATCAATAAAACCCTGATAATGGTAATTGCACATCCGCTCAATCTCCTTGTCATGTGATTTGATTCTAGAATCCAATTTATTCCCAAACTTCTCCAATTCTGCTCCATCATAAACAGCTCTAAAAAAAATAAAATAAACATTATTAACTACTTACATGTATACAAGTACATGTATTTAAAAGAACATCTGTTTTGTTTGTTCCTTACAGGAAACTGGGAGGTGTTAGGTAGGTAACGGTTAACATGTGCACATTGGATCATAACAAATATTTTTACAAGAGCAGAATAGTAGGACATTAAACCCCATTTCATTTCATTGCCAGACCCTCCTAAGCTCTGTCCTGCACTCCACTGACAAGGGCCAACCACGCTGGCAAATCCAGAGGAACTTTCTCAGCAAATCTGGGATTGAAGCAGGACCACCTGCTTAGTGAGCCAGCACTCTACTCACTGAGAAACCACCTGCTTAGGGAACCAGCACCCTACTCACTGAGCCACAGTGACTTCCATATTAGATAATGGGCATGTGATTGGACTACAGACAAAATCTTAAAGCACTGACTAATGTATAATAATAGAATAAAACAAAATAGAGTTAATACGTTCTACCACAGGCAAAATGTCAGACAGCCCTCATGGCCTATGTACATGTATGTAATTTGAAAAACTTTCTAAATAAAGTTGTTATTAGTTTTATCTTAATAAGACTGTGTTTGTGTTAAGTGTTAGAAAACTATATTGTACCATTATAATTTGTTTGCTGCAAAAAGTCTACATGAACATGTATATACTATTTAACAACAATTGACAGGGATATGTACATTGTACATGTATTTATAGTTGTATACTGTAGAACGTACCTGACTAATTACATGATAACTGTAGTTACAGGTATGACTCATACATTGTAAATACAGGACATTTAGATGTTGTAAATAATATAAAGTGTCTTTCTTGTAATGATATAATTTGTCAAACAAGCGCAAATAATAGTTAAGGTTTATGTACATGGTATATGGTCGGTCTAGTCATTGAAAAACACAGTTTGTTACTTGGCTGACAATATCTGCAGTTATGCGGAGTTGAGTAGCTATATTTATAGATAATAGTATATATCATATAAAATATATGTTAAACTAAAGGCATTAATAAAGCATTAATAAATAAAATGAGTAGAGTTAGCCATGTAAAAAGAAAGGGAACCAATCGCAGTTAAAACCAAACACATGCAGATTTATTTATGTTTTGGCAGTGTCTATTTTGCCAGCAGTCGCACTCGGATTGGTTCATTTTCACTTCCGTTTGACATGCGCAGTTCTCTTATTCCTGGACTTAGCAGTTTTCGCTTTGGCAATGATACCGGCTATTTCAACTTGTGGGCTACTTTGCCGTCTGACATTAACCCATAACCAAAACCCGAACCCTAACCCAACAGTTCTATTCGTCTTTTGTGTAACATTACTTCTTTCTCCGTTTCTTATAAAGGGACGAAATAGCCATTTTTGAATTTCTATGGTAGAAACTTTTAAAAGAAAATAAGATAATAAATGTAAATTGTAGAAAAGCATTTAGAATATTATTCTATTTTGGTCAAGGGCGCATTTCTGCGGATTTTGGTTTTTAATTTAAGTACTAAGACTGTTAGTGGTTTTTGTTTTTCCCGTAAAATCGTGCTTCTGCGCCGAACTTGAAAGACGGAGTAGTCAAAATGGTGGAATATATCAAGAATCGCACAACAGCGCATGTCGAACGGAAGTAATGGCAAAATAGCGTAAACGGAAGTTTTGCCGGTGCTGGCAAAATAGACACTCCCTAATGCTTTAGCATGCTTCTTGTACCTAAGCAAATATATGGTCTAATGGTAATTGGGGCTATTCATGTATCGTCCATGTCGGCCAGTGCTATATATCATATATTATAAATTAAAATATGGGACATGAAATGGAGAAGGAAAGAGAAAGGCCCTATTATTTAGATGCAGACCAGAGCGACACAGAATACATATGACTAGGGCTGCAACGATACACCAGGCCACGATACGATGCGCATCACGATTCATACCCCACGATACGATTAATATCGCGATGCAGTTTTCTCGGTCCACTGAACGAATTCCATTCTTGTCATAATTTACGGGAAATCCAAAAAACTCCCATACTTGTGACTTATACTTGGCAGAGGGATTTTCAATTTCTACATTATTTTTGTCGCCCGTACGACCTGAATTTGTTGAAGAATGAATTATTATTAAAAATATTCTGTTGCTGAATCAATTCAATGGCTGGCTCGTATTGCTACAACAATTTCAGCCAATGGAAAGCTTTCTAGTTGTCAGGTCAGTCGTAGATGAGAGAATGGCAAAGAAAATAACAATACGAAATTTGAATGTCAAAATATTATTATACACTGAAAATATAGAAAAGATAATTGTGCTGATCATTGTATGCACCTATCACCATTCTTGCACAGTAGTCTTATTACAAATCGCATATTACTGACGTATTTATAATAATATGTTGTATGTTTTTTCCGCATATTATTCAAGTGTGTAATTTGCAAGTAACCTAATTTCATGCCTGACTTGCTTATCCAGACTGATATTTTTTTTTATTCTTGACGAAATAGCTGAAAGTCTCGAATTATTCACGTGCCGAAAGCGAGTTAACACGTACTCGCTGAAAGTAAAAAAAGTTATTTTACTCATAGACTTATTTAGGCATTCCTCGTTAGGATATTTAAACGACAGAATGTCAGTCTATTTTTTTTTTAATTTGGATAACGAATCGCGATACGGACATTGATTGTATCATGCATCGTGGATTTTTAAACTATCGCGGTTCATCGATTCATCGATGAATCGTTGCAGCCCTACATATGACTATAGTCTATGTGCGTTATGGCAAAGTCTTGCCGAAAAGAACTGACATCCATTAGTAACCGTTACATGTAATGTGCGTAATTATTATAGTATGGACATAAAATAAACAGTGTTAGTCAACCATCTATTTTGACCCACCCACCGGACTGCCACAGGTTCTCAGTCCAGAATGTTTTAGATTTTACTGGCTATCATGTGAACATAAAAATAAATCTGCTCTAGTTTTCCATTTGAATGTCATGGAGTTCTTTTGCAATTTTTAACCACAAACAATTAAACAGAACTGTCAACAGTGCTATTTTGAAATGATGAATGATAACATTTCTAAATCTACTCCATCTATCAATTTCAAAGGAGGTGTGAATATGACATTTCTAGCAAGTAAAGTGAAGCCATGTTTTATACCTCAAGGTCGTTGCTAGCGGCCCTTCAGACGTTTCGATCTCAGTAATAAGATGATCATGCTGTGCGCTGACAGCCTCTTGTCGTAGTGTATTAGCATCCTGCACTTTATCGCCTAATAATTTCCAATCACCTGCAACATTTCCTTTGGGTGTAGCTTCCGCCATCATCCCATTTTGACGCGCATGCGTACTATCGCCCACCTTGCAGACGAAAAGTTATTGATAATCCTGTAGACTAATTTTCGTACCCCGGTATTGGGAATAAAACTCAATTTATTGTCCTCGTTTCGTGTCACTGATGTAATAATAAATGCACGATTTTTTGTTAAGCATTCAATATGCTGCAACAGAAAACATTTTTTTACGATCAGTGAAAGTGTCACTGTCGTCAGGTCACCCCACCCGCTCTATAAAAACCTTCAAATTAAAGGGCCAAATTAAACTTAGGTGGCTGACCTGAAGTCCGAACAATCAACAAGTCGTTTAGCCCACGGTGCCGCGGTCGCGGCAAGGACGGTAGTCGCGGTGTACAGGTACGTCGCCCACCTCCCCTCGAGAAAAGTTTTGAAAATTTAACCGCCAAAATGCGTTAATTTAAACAACTTCATAGCGGCCCAATGGTTTTGCAACCGATATCCCATCCTATGCCGCCCTGAATTCCAATGAACAGATCAGACGGTGCCTCAGAAATGTTGCACAAGGCAGAATCGTCCAAGGAGAAAATAGTCAGTTTAGTAGGCTACAAATTCGCGGTATTTGATTAAAAGTAAAAATAGTGTTTTATTAGATTTCGGGCACTAGAACGCAAAATATTTTGTTCACATTACCCGTCTGTCCGAAAAGTCATATTGCCCGAAAGTTAGCTGCCCCCTCCCGCATCCTCTTGGCTCGTAGTGGCTAAGTGGGTAAAACGCTGGCTCGCTAGCCTGAAGGCCTCATGTATTGGCCGAGAAAATCCATCGGGATTTTCAGACGTGGTTTCCCCTTGTCAGTGGTGCAGACGGAGGGCCTGACAAGGACAGCTGTCTAGTCATTCGGATGGGAAGTAAAAAACCGAGGTCCGGTGTATACAGTGACGTGAACGTAAAATTTCCCTTTGCAGTTGGAATTCGATATAAAAGTAGGCCATAGTGCCGCTGCCAGGGCAAAATTTCCCTCATAGCAGACTGTATGGCGTATGCCCGTTTTTATTAGACCAGTATTGGAGCCGAACAGTAGGGGGTTAAACCCCATTCCATTTCATTCCATTTCCTTGACACGTATAAAGATTAGTCTATAGATTTAGTGTCATATTTTATGGGTAACCGAAAAATCCACTGATTTAACTCATATTTCACGGGGATTATTTAGCTGCTCACGTATTCACGATATACATTTATGGCAGGTACAAATTCTGTATATATTTTTTTATGTATTTTAAAGTTTAAAGGTTAGGCTATAGACTTAGTGTTATATTTTATAGGTTACCTAAAATCCACCGATTTAATCTCATATTTCACGGGGAGTATTTAGCCTCCACACGTATTCACGACATTATGCACTTTGGAGTATGGAAGACCAAACAGTTCTTTATTCGGTGTTCTTAATTCTTGGTTCTTAATTCTTATTTTTTCATTTGTTGCCGTATTTAAACATGTATATCTTAGAATTAACATTTGTATCTTAAAATCAATATCTGTTTTACAAATAAATAATTTGTCATACCAGATTTGTAAATTGTATTTCTGTTTAATTTAATTGTATTTTAATATATGATAAAATTTCTTTTCGAAAATCAAAAAATTACATTTACATTTCATAAGAAAGATACAACGAAAAACAAATCTCGAACAACAAATTTCCAAATACAGATTTTCAAATACCAATCTTGCAAAACCAATGTCAAAAAAAAAAAAAAAAAAATCTACAAGATCAACTAACCTGAATATTACGACGACAGAGGATGCTAGTGGTGGACCAGCAATCGGCTCTACCGACCAATAAAACAACAATAAAACAATAGCTGCACTTAGATGTTTGATGATATACATTCTTTCCTGTAAGTTTAAAGCTTTATATAAATAATCATTAAATTCTTTATATAATTCTAATTTTAAACAATGTACTTATAATTTTGTAAATAATTTTGTACCTGGGAGATGAATTATACTTCAATCGTTTCAGGTTCATAGAAAGACGTATATCGACATAGTATTAAACATACATTGTGCAAGAGCTAAATCGGCCTATTGCAGGACTTTCTTTAGGCCTGAAATGCTATATAAACTATTAATTAGACATTAATTAACTTATCCAGACCATAATCAACCCTCGGTGTCATTGCTAGCCTGCGATATTTACTGGATTAGGATTCGATTTGCTGCTCAACTTTCATTCATGATTTAATCATGAAATGGATAACCGAGACTATGTTTTTTATCGTACCGACTTTAGTAATGATGATCGAGGAGTTGGCCCCAAATTCCCTTTACATTATCTAGTTTTTAACTATTATAGTGAGAACTGCCAGCTTTTTATCTAATCCCCCATAATGTATCTTTAATTAACGTGGCATTGGTTATTTTAATAACCGTGCATGTCGTACAAATGTATTTTCTTTTGAATTCTGGATAGGTTATGCTAAATTTAATATGGGTGAATATAAAATAAAATTATATATGTATCCACGTTATTTCATAATTACAGACAGCGAGCGTATTAAAATATAGTTACAGGGCCGGGAGACGCGCTGAATCAGTGTGAACAGTTCGCACGAACTATTTTCATTAGCCAATCAGAGTGCAGGGTCAAAAGTCAGGTGGCAGGTAACTCCCGACGGCTTCGTCATGCCAGGTGACAAGACAGAAGAGAGAATGTCCGTGCGTATCGTCGCTTTCAGTGCGAACGATGATTCCCGCCGAAAATCGCAGTATAAACGACCCATTATGTAATTGTAAATGCCTGTTTATACCGAGCGTGAATGCGACCGCGACCGCGAACTGCGATCTCTGCGATTTTCTGTGCGAATTGTCGTTCTTTCTGAAAAGCGACGATACGCATGGAAATTCGCTCTTCTGTCACATGTATGACTTTTGACCTCGCACTCTGGCTAATGAAAATCGTTCGCACGAACTGTTCCAAACATGGCAATTCGGCCATGTTCGCCGTCAGTAAAATAGCAGTTAAGCAATCAAAAGCGGTCGCCACGTTCGTGGTCGCAGTTGTGGTCGCGTTCGCGCTCAGTATAAATGGACCTTAATGGGAACGTATCCATGTAGCGGCGAAATCCCACGGAGAAACGCCGCGAAAACGCATACATGGAAAACGGTCATTTATAACAATATTATTTTTGGAATTTCCAAGGATGAGGGGCAAAAATAGATCAAGGCCTGTGAGCATGCCTAGGACACTTCATAAAATATAGGTCAAGACCAGTTGGCAATCTAATGACACGGCGCTTTCATGTTCAAACTTCAGCAGAAAAAATCACCATCTCTATAAGACTGAATCATTCATGAATATTTATATAAACTCTCTGGTTTGTGATATTATATGACAATGTCAACACGACATAATATATAAATATTACAATCAGTTAAAGTTTAGATAACTCCAGTATCCCTTGAGTTATCTATCTAGCTGGTTATCTGTAACTCGTGATTCCAGTCAGTTAAAGAAATTGTACAACCTCGACTCATTCTCGTTTTGCATCAGTAGTGTAAATCAACATCCAAGTACTCAAAAATTGTAAGTAGTCAATCTCTTTCTTTATATGAAAACTGTAACTTTTCAATGTGTGTATATACAAATTATAATTGTGAGTTGGGCGATCATATTTGATCCTACTCCCATTTCTATTTCCATGCACTTTTACATTCCATCACTTTTACATTTACCACCCCACCCCCACCGCCCCTTTTTTTTATTAACCCCCGCAAAATTGTTAGGAATAGGGTTTAGGGTTAGGGTAATGGTTAGGGTCATTTATTTAAGATTAAAACCTAGTAGTGCGACAACAATGAAATTTTGAGACGCAAAAATGGGAGTCAGATCAAACATGAATGCCGTGAGTTGTTAGTATTCAGTGTCATTATATACAAATATTCACAACTATTCAAGCTCTTTATATAGAAATTGTAAGCATTGGATCTCTTTATAAATACAAATTGTAATTATTCCGTCTGTGAGAGGGGGGAGAAAGAGAGAGAGAGGGAGGGGGAGAGAGTGAGAGAGAGCCTTTATTCATTGATTTTACTTGTGTATGTGTCGTTTCTCACGTAAAACCATGGGGTAGAAACCCCGACAATATCAGCTCTTATGGTAGACCATTCGACCCTCATCTCATTGGCACTTAAAGAGTACAACAAGTTGTGCTAGACAATTTGACGGCCGGAAAACTATTTTTATACTATATTAAGTCTCGATGTTTGTTTTCCTTCAGATTGAAATTTCAAGATGCAGGCCTTACAATGGAATAGAGTTGATATGACTTTGAAGAATGTTAGTGCTAAAATCCCGGAGGTTACTGATGACTATGTCCTGGTGGAAGTTTCACATGCTGGAGTATGTGGAACCGATCTACATATTATGGCGAAGGAATTCCGGTCCTCGGATCTTGTAATTCTTGGTCACGAGTTCTCTGGAACGGTTGTTAAAGTCGGAAAGAACGTAAAGAACGTGGCCGTTGGGCAACGAGTTGCCGTAGAGCCAAATTCAATTTGTGGAGGTTGCAGTTTCTGCAGACGTGGGAAACCAAATTTTTGTAAGGACGGGTTGGCTCAAGCGCTTGGTGTCATGAATAATGGCGGATTTTCCAATTTTTGTTTGGTGCCAGGTACCCAGGCGATTCCAGTTCCGGATTCTCTACCGCTTGATAAAGCTGCTTTATGTGAACCCTACTCTTGTGTTGTCCATGGTTACGAGTTGCTAGGGAAGGTGGAGGATGGCAGCAACATTTTAATCATGGGTGCAGGAATCATTGGTCTACTTTGGGGGTCGATGTTACACCACCGCGGTTTCAGGAACGTTACAATGGTAGAAGTTGCAGATGGCAGACGACAGCTTGCCAAGGATGCAGGACTGGGATTTGACGTCCTTCACCCAAGTGCCCTGGAAGAAAGTTTCAAGGGAAAAGAAGCCAGTGAAGACGGGTTTGATATCGTGGTGGATTGTACTGGCAATTCAAAAGCAATTGAAATGGCCTTCTATATGCTGAAAGGTGGCGGAAAACTGCTCATATTTGGTTGCGCGCCACCTACTGCCGAAATTAAAGTTAAGCCTGCTCAGATTCAGTTCAAAGAATTATCGATAATCGGCGTCCAGATTAACCCGTATTGCTTTACAAAAGCCGTAACTCTCGTCAGCGATATGGCAGACAAATACCTAGACTTCAAAAGACTCGGAATTGAAGTTTTCACTTTGAATCAGTATGAGACGGCCATTTCCAAATTAAAAGCCGGGCAGATTTCCAAAGCGATGTTCTGTGTGAAGAAGGAGTGAATAATGTGAAGAAGGAGTGAATAATGTGAAGAAGGAGTGAATAATGTGAATTATGATTGACAATAATGGTGTTATTAACGTAGTTGTTATTATGATTCGTTCTTAGATACAGTAGAATCTGCAATAAGCAGCCACCCAAGGGAATTTTCACAACTGACCGCTTAACGGGAATGGCCTCTTAATAAAATCTCGTTGCTTTTTGTGCCGACATAAATTAAATATTACGCTTGTATTACAAAATGGCGTCAAATTCTAAAATACAGTGGCGTGCAGAGAGAAAAGGGCGGAGAGTGAAATGAAAAATTATCACCGTTTAGGTTGGCGGTGCGGAGAGTAAAATAAGAATGACGTTTTTTAAAATTTGAAATCAGCGTCTTTGTTATAATTCGTTCTTAAATATTACAAAATGGCGTCTAAATCTAAAATACACAGAGAGTGAAATATACAAATCTAAAATACACGGAGAGTGAAATAATTAAAATTACCTTTTTTGAGATTTGAAATTATCGCCGTTAACTGTCTTCCTTTGTGATATTTCTCAATAGTCAGTACCAGGAAAATAAAATCAAGGAGTTTAGCACCGCCCATCACCAAACCTCTGCACGACACTGTATATACCTGACAAATGCTTTTATACTATATTATTATATACCATTTTTGTTAAAAGATAATCAAATATACTCTACTTTTGTGTTAAAAATTTATTTTGTTTTCAAGAAACTGAATTGATATTTTCAAAAATTCCGGATCTGGGCCCTGTTTCACGAAATTTTAACTAAAGATAAAATCCAATTTTAGTAGATACTTCAATTTTGATTGGCTAAGCACTAAAATCAATCTAATATTATCCAATCAAATTTCGTGAAACAGGCCCCAGAGAGTTTGTATAATTTAATGTTCATGAATGATTCAGTGTTATAGAGATGGTGATTTTTTTAAATTTTTTTAAACATCAAAACGGATTGCCCTCGGATTTCCCGCAGGCCTTGATCTATATTTTTGCCCCTCAGCTTTGGGTAATACGAACCAATATTGTTATAAATTTTAGTACACGGGTTTCATATTATATTTGTCATGCACTGAGAAATCAATTGAAATTTAACGTCCCCCTTTCTGCACCGACTGGGTTAATGAAGACGGGCATACGGGGGAATTGTGCCCGGATATCGGCGCTACAGTCTACTATTATATCGAATTTCAACTGTCAGATGTTCTTTTAATTACGTGCACGCCAACGGGTACGCAGGTGCTATGAGGGAAATTTTGCCCGGGCAGCGGCACTATGGCCTACTCTTATATCGAATTCCAACTATCAAGGGATCTTTCACATGCATGCCAATGTATACACGGGGTCTCGGTTTTTCGTCCCATCCGAACGACTAGACGCTCCCCTTGCCTAACCCTACGTCCTGCTCCACTGACAAGGAGATACTACACTTATATTAATAAGCTTGCTGTCTGAAATTGTGAAGTAAAGTTGATACATATATTTTTATATTTTCGATTCACTTATATTATATTTACTTAAACATACATTATGCAAGAACTAAATCTGTCTATTGCAGGTCTTTCTTTAGGCCTGAAATGTTATCTAAATTATTAATTAGACATTAATTAACTTATCCAGACCATAATCAACTCCCGATGGCATCACTAGCCTGCGATATTGACTGGATTATGATTCCATTTGCTGAACGACTTCCATTCATAATTTAATCATGAAATGGATGATCGAGACTATGTTTTTTATTGTACAGACTTTAGTAATGATGATCGAGACTAGGCCGAAATTCCAATCGCTTAATCCTCGGTTCATAGTATATCAATTTGACTGAAATTTTCAGCATATTGCCTTTACATTATGTAGTTTTTAACTATTATAGTGGGAACTGCCAGCTCTTTATCTTATCTCCCATAATGTATGTTTAATAAATAATAAAAGTCGATGTAACAAACTGCAACCCAACCACAATGATTACATATCTCGACGATATACGGACGGCTTTTATTTTTAGTTCATATACACTTAAAGATGCATTATGTAAGAGCTAAATCTTCCCATTGCAGGTCTTTATTTTGACATGTTATCTAAATTACTATTTACTCTTAAATAATTACTATTTACTATTACTATTTACTCTTAACACAACGAGCCAATAATCAACACTCTATACATCGGATGGCCGGGATTTAAATGAATTTGAAAACACACAAGATTTTAAAATTTAACGAAAAAAATGGATAATTGAGACTTAGTCTCGGTTGACAAGTGCCGTTGCTAAGATAATAAACGATCTATCCTTCATCTTCAAACAGTATTAACCACTCCCAGAATGAAAAGACATAATTTCTTTCAATCTTTCAAGTGGACGTTACACCCCCCCCCCTCTCTCTCTCTCTCTCTCTCAGTAGACAACCTTTATGTACTAATATAAATATCATATCCTTGACATGGTAATACATGTATTGCTAAAAAAAATGCATAATGTCGTGAATACGTGAACAGCTAAATACTCCCCGTGAAATATGAGATTAAATCAGTGGATTTTAGGTAACCTATAAAATATAACACTAAGTCTATAGCCTAACCTTTAAACTTTAAAATGCATAAATAAATATAAAAAATGTGTAGCAAGGTTTTATGGGTCTACCTGTATCTTAAATGAAGTGAATTGGGGTTTAAAGGAGCTAAACCCCTATTCTTTGGCAACTAGAAATGGACACAAATGGGTCGCGACGTATATAATAATGTAGGATTTACATTCAATCGTTTCTATTTTTACTACAATTTCTAATCGGTTATAAATTATGCCCGGCGAAATACGCGAAGAGTTAAAATTGAATGACAGTCTTTGGCGTCTGGCCATTCCAGTCTACGCTAGTAGTATTCTCCTGCGGCATATGTTTAAGTCTCGTTCATTACAAATGGCGCTCGAATGCATTCTGGCACGCGATTCGTGTGCCAATTTTAAAATGTTCATTTTGTTCATATTAAATATGAAAAGCTCATCTTTTCACGGTAAGATAACAACATCAATGTTGGTTTAAACTGACCAATAAGTCGTGTCTGCAATTTCGAAGACTGAGGATGAATTCCTGTGAATATCGAAGTCTCATTATGTTCTTGGATTATCCTCTGTCAATGTTGTCGTCGAGCAGGCAACAAGCCGACAGCCTGTTAGTACCAGTGTGTGATGCCCTTGTCCTGCGTGCTTCCCATTGGTGTTTTTCAAGGAATCCAGTATTTTTCTAGTAAGATTGGTTGTCTCTACATTCCATATTATTGCCATACTTTTATTGGAAATAATTAAATACTTTAGCCCTTTAAGTCTATGGCGTATGATTCAAATAACAATAATATTCTATCCACGACACGTAACTCAATACGTTAAAGAATACACGGCGACCCAACGTCAATACTCAACCAAAACTGGGGTATTTTGTGATTAACGTAGAATAATTCTTTCACTTTAATAATAAAATTGCGCACAGGACAAAATCCAGAAGGTTAGCCATGCAACCCTACTACTTGGTCAGGAAGGGAGAGAGAGAGAGATGGAGAGAGAAATGGGGTTTACCGTCCACTCGACACAGACTAGGTCATTTCGGGACTAACATATGGTTAAATTTTATTTCCATAATTCGCATGCGCGTAGGGGTCTTTAGCAGTGGCAGGAAACCGGAGGACCCGGAGAAAACCCACGAGGTTGGACAGGCGACTCTACTCCTTGTCACATACAACCGGGCAATCGAAACCACGCCAGTTGACTTAATTAATGACAGGCTTTATGATACAGCGCGCACGTGCTAACCATTCAGCCATCCACCCCCCACCCCCACCCCCCGGTAAGGAAGGAGCTGTGGTGCGAGTGTCAGTAAACCGTTCAAAGGTAGGGTGTGTTGCTTTATGTTTTCTGTCATTTTGGGAGTAAAAAATATCTCTGAGTAAACTTGCCGACCATTTTGAATGTCACGTGATGTATCCTTCCATCGATCGATTCACAAAGATCCAAGATGGCTTCTCAAACTCGCATTTCTTCAGAAATGTCGCGTTTTTAGCCGAATCACTCACATTGCGCACTACAAATAGTTCCCGGTAAATCATCAAATCGGCTGTATGCGAATGAACTTTTGATGCCAAGATGTGGAGAATATTCCAAGGATCATTAATATGACTCATGCAATGAACCCATGCTTAATTGTCGAGAAATCGGCAGCATTTCATTCAAACAAATTGAGCCAATCAGAAGCCACTGGGGGCGGAGCTTAGAAAAATGATGTAAGACTGATTAATGCCCGGCGAGTTTTCCCAGGAATAAACAAAAGGTAAATTTATCTCTTGGAGCCGAGATTGTAAAAAATATACCTTTAATTTAAGTATCCTACCGATACCTATCTACAAGAACGTAGGTAAAACCGTTGAGATATGCTGATGTCTTTGTTTTTAGCTACGATTGGTTAGCTTTAGTCTGACCTAGCAAATTTAATTTGTTTATTAATGCATGTAACATAATATTAAAGATGAGATCATTTTATAATATTAGGACTAATTAAACATACCCGTTCCAATGTAGTGACACAGCTTTCTTTTAACGGCAAATATTGACAGCTAAGTAATCAAGTCGTGTTTTTAACTGACTTGGAACGCCCATTCCTCTACTTACGGCATTACTTTTGTCTAAGTCGCGAATTTTGATTGGCTATTGTTCACGTCATATATTTAGCCCCGCCTTCATGATGTTTAGAAGCGGGATTGGGATGACCTAGTGGTCTAGAGCATAGTGCTCTAGTTGGCCGGTCAACTCTGGCTTGCGGCTGCGGTTTCGATCCCTGGTGTGAGCGTATGTGGCTTGCGGATAGAACGCATTCTCACCCTCTTGGGTTTACTCCGGTTTCTTCCCCTCAGGAAAAACCCCTAGGCGTGCGCTAAGATAACAAGAATAAGACAACTTGTCTGCGACACTGCCTTCGATGGAATCGGACGTTAAACTCTAACAGAAGATGAATGATGTTTAGACGTTATAGGCCTCTCCCATTTCAAAATGTCGAGCGTGGCAAAAGCTTATAACGCTTAGATTTAAAAGAGAAGATTTGTACCCGTGACAGGTAGCATGCTTGTACGAGCCAGGGATACAGTGTGGGGAGGGTGGGCAGCTGTTCCTCTAACTTTTGGGCTATCTGACTTTTCGGGCAGACGGGTAAAGTGGGGAAAAGAATTATGATATAATACAATATTACAAACCCCCTTATGTAAATATTCATGAACGATTTAATCTTATAGAGATGTTGATTTTATCTGAAGATTGAACATTAAAGCCGAGTATTGACTAGCTACCAGTCCTGGATCTCAGTGTCGGGTTTAGATGTAGAGACGGTCCTATAGTCTATTCCACTGATGAGTGCTCTCCCAATCCTACGCCCTCACGACTAGCTGAAGATGAAAGCGTATTTTTTAAACACAATTGAGCAAAACCGAGGATGTTGACGGATGTTTAAGACTACAGTGCGTGTAAGAAAGGCTTCTGTCAGTGTGAAAAATATAGACCCAACCCCCTAGATCTTGTACCCCTGGATTTCAGCCTGCTAAATCTGGTACACCATGGATAGATGCTCCCTAGACATCGGAGCCCTAGGCTACAGCCTAGGTAAACCCAGCACTGCTTGATCTATATTTTGCGGGGATCA